ACCAACTTTTGCATATTGCTTCTGACAGAGCATAATCACCGTGTGCCTCGACAAGCATTTGATGCGACTCTGCAGCACTTTCCGGTACAAAATTTTACATTTTCAACACAATGAAAAAATGTGCTGTTGTTTGTTCAATGACCGTAAGGTTATTGAATATGTTTGACAGCTGTCGTGCCAACCAAACAGAAAACAAGGAAAACACTGTCCTATTATTGTAGTTGTACAAAAGAAAAGAATGTAACTGAAACGAATTCAAGTTGATGAAGTGTTTGACACGCGCCCAATTTACCAACATCCTCAAAGTACGTACATAGCTTGATCACTTTTAATTGCAACTACTATATGTACATAGGTGAATGTAATAGCTAATAGCAAAGCCGGTCGCGCAGTCTTAATCATTCAGGTTATTGCGAGATTTTCTTTCAACCAACAGCAATCAGGCACCAAAGTCAGAGTCAAGGCGCCAAGTCGTGCGACTGTCCATTCCGACGTCGTATTAAGTCAAAATAATTACGACAAATGCATAATATAGATTATTTAATTACCGGTAGTGATGAGTGCAACAACAATACGAAATTTTTCAAAAGCAAAAACAAAAATACAGCAAAACAAACATGTAATATAAAAACCAAAAAAAAAATAAATAAACGCAAAAATAAAAATGGCAGAAAAAATAAAAATAAACGAAAATGAAAAAGCAAAAGCAGAAAAAAGTGAGAAAACTTTATTGGATAATCCAGTAATAAATAGTTACAAGAGAGCAAAAGCAAGCAAAAAAGCAGTGTGTGAGAGTGGCGTTTATATATGTTTCAGTTGCACTTTAAACATTGCCACAAATGCTGCCACAAACACAATTCTTTATATTGTTCGTTGCGCGCAGGCAGAAAAAAAAGAAAAAAAAAATTGCATTTTCTGGCATTACATGTGCGCATATTTATATACATACATACACATATACTCCCATATGTTTCACTGCAATTGTTACCACGTAACAGTGATTACACAAATATAACGCTGGACTTGCCACCATAGCACTTTGGCAAAGCGGCCACCGGTAAAGAGGTTGTTGCACCTGAAAGTGCCGTGGCAAAAAGTATTGCTCAATGTAGCATTGAATGTAATGAAAGGAAAAATTGTAAAACAACGGTATTATTACCTATGAGGATGCCAGTTATTAAGCGAGCGATTAAAATCAGCAAGAAGCGAATATATAATACAAATAAAAAAAGTAACGCAAAATATGCGCTTTTTCTGGCTAATTTGCTATGCTTGGCGTTTTTTGTTTTTTTGTTGTACAATAATTAAATTTTCCTTGCATTTTTTGCGGCACAAATTTGCATAAATTGTGTTATACGCGCGAATTTATGGTAAATGTGGCAAGTGGCATGCCGCATGTTCCACTTACATAAATACTATAAGCGCGCAATTGCTAAAAAACTAGGTTTTGGTATGTATATAGACCTGCCTAACAAATAGAAAAGTATTTTCATATATTTGTGTGTGTGGGTGTTTGTGCCCCTCTTTGCGATCTTGAAAATCTAGGAAATATTGTTGCAGCTATGATTTGCCCTTCGCGGAAATGTGTCATTACAATGGGGAAATGGCAAGACAACCGGCTAGGGCGTCAAACGTGTAGAAACTGGAAATGAAATAATTATTTTCGACTAATGAGTTGTGATTGCAGCCAGCGATATTAAATTAATAATAACAATAAAAATATTTTTTCCAAGTCGTAATTTTGTGTGAAAATTTTATTGGTTAAAGAAATTATATTCATAACGAAATATATATATTAAAGCCAGATAATTCATTTATTTTCTAAACAAAAAATTTAATAACATTTAACATTTAATTACATTTTTTTTTCATTACAAATTTTTTTAAAAATATTTTTGCTTTAAGAGCAATTTTTAGTTTAATTTTAGGCAAATACTATTATTATTGTTATTCAGCCAAACTTGAGGTATTTTTTAAATGAAAATTTATTTTTTGTTAAATTTTTGCTACTAAAACAATTTTTAGTAATAAAACAATTTTTAGTAATAATAATTATTTATGAGCATTCGAATTGCGCCTAATTGCAGGCAATTATTATTATTAGTTCAATTTGGCCTTAGAATTTTAAGATTTTTCTAAGGACGTTTTCTAGAGTTTTTTTTGAAAACAATTTTTAGTTTAGTTTTTATTTCATAAGTATAATTGAGCCTAAATGTAGGCAATTATTATTATTAGTTCATCTTCTCCTCAATATTTGACGTTTTCGTACAAATTAATTTATTATTATAACCTTTAATGCAGATCCTAACTAAAGCACTTTTTTAGTTTAAATATTATTTTTCATAATACGAATTGAGCATGAATGTAGGTAATTATTGTTATTAGTTTAATTTAGCCTTATAAGAGGACATATTTTTTCATATAATTTTATACTATGAGCGCAATTTTTAAAACTTGAAATTACGCCTTAATGTAGGCAAATAAAAATATTGGTGTGACTCAGCCTTATTAGAGACATTTTTATAACTTTTTTGTAATTGTTGTAAATGTTGTTAATTTTCAATTTAGATCTGAGCTAGATGTCGTTTTTACGAATTTTTAGTTTCATTTTTTATCAGAGTTCAAATCGCGTCTAATTGTAGGCAGCCACTTCAGTTTAGTCTTATTTTTTTATCTCTTACAGTAATTTTATTGTTATTTCCTGAAAATCAAAATATAAGTAAAATAAAATATAGTATTCGAAATTTGTATTAATATTCTGTTTATGTTGAACTACGCCTGATTATAGGCGTTAGTTTTTTTTTTTTAATTTCAGTAAATTACAATTAGTTTTCGAATTTTGACTGCTAATAAATTTTTAGAAATTATGTTAAAGAAAAAAACCAAAATGTCAAAAATGTACTGTTATATTTAATACAAAGCCTATTTTGGCAATTTTTGATTTCAATAAATTTTCAAGTTCTAACCGTTTTAATAAACTTGTTGAAATAAATTTCAGAAAAAAATAAAATGTCAAAATTTATAATTTTAATTTTCATATTTAAAATTACGCCTAAATGTAGACAATATATTTAATTTTATTATTTTTAATAAATATATATATTTTAATAAAAATATTTTTTTTTAGATATTAAAAAAAAAAAATTTATGAACTTATTAATTGTATTACTTTCCTTAAAAAAAATTTTACCTTTTTTTAATTTTATACTTCGAAAACACATTACAATATCGGCAATTTTTTTCATACTGCCTACATTTAGGCTGATACTATAGTGCGCATTTCAAATCATACAGGACTCTGTAAATTTATTACCTTCTGACTTTGTGCTTTGATGTAAAACTGCGAAGAAAAAAAATAAGTAATGCATAATAAAAATAATTTTAAAAATAACACCTGCAATTTTTCAAAAACAATTTAAAATGCATTAAAACTGTCACATATATTTTCTACAAAAGAAAATATTTGCCAAAAAATAAATTAAAAACCTTTCGTCAATGAAATGCAGTCACGTAGAAACACCTCGTAAATCAGTAAGAGTCAAAATAAAACATTTCGCCAAATTTCAAAACAAAAAAAATCACAAACTCAACATGGCATTGATAACGGTAAGTGATTAAGTATGCAAAGAAATCTAACCCCGCATGCTACGACATTTGACGTTTATCGGCTGTCATGAGCGTGATGACCGTTGCCATGACACTAACGTTCAAGCGCTTAATATTGCTTACAAATGCAACAGCTTTTTGCATGCTAATCAACAGTTGAGTGCAACATAACAGTTATATAGTGGCGGTGGCGTCATTTAAAAGAGAGCGAAATGCTTACGGAATATTTATTTTAAATTTTTTGATAAAGAAAAAAATAACTTTCGAAAAGTAACTGACATTATTTAACAATATTTGATTTATGTTTGTTGAAATTTGACATATTGCAACAAGTTATTGGCAACTAGTGTTGACAAGCGATACTGCGAAAAAATACATTGAACTCTAAGCGAGCTGATAGCATTTATTCGTTTTTATTGTTTTATAAACAAATTAAATGTTTCATTATATACAGAATAATATTGCAGTTTGCAACCATACGAATTTCAATAGTGATCAACATACTAAACGACTATCGATAATACTAGTTCACGCAATATTTTCCATATTCTTTCATGCGAATTTTTTCATGCCAAACAAAGTGCGTTTGCGCGCACAGCAGTCCCGGTGAACTCAAGACTCAAGAGCACACAATAAATGAATAACTTAACGCAACATAACAAAACGTAACACAACATAACGTTACATAACACAACACAACGCAAAAGTCTCATACTAACAGCAGAAGATAACACAACGTTACTAAGGTAGAACTTAATATTGTTAGGCAAAAATGAACTTAGCTACGCATACTAAATGGCTAACATAGCATAAGACAAAACTCCATAAATATTTCAAGGAACTGTGAATGAGTTTTCTTATGTCGCTTCAGCTGGTTTAAGAAACATAGCGTGAGATCTATAGATATAAACCCTAGATAAGCTTTATGAAGACTCCAATTTTTAACATTCATCATATGCTCTCCGTTGAAGATAACCGAAATGTGTACTTGACCCTTCGAACTTGATATTTGCCTTGGAAACACAATATTTGAAGGCAATGCACAAGTTCAAATCAAACCGACATATTGTATTTGCTCGTAACAATGTAACATTACATTTCTTTCATTTCGATTTTGCAGCCTACTTTTTCATAAACTATCACAGCCAAGTTGTTGTTTTTCTTTTACGTTATTTTTTATTCTGCCCTCCTGCTTTTCATTGCTCATTACGAAAACGTCTATCTATCTATCTATCTTGCCGACATTACTGTTTGCACACATACATTCAACTCGATCAAGTCGATCAAGCCGTCAGTCCTGCCAAGCAACGCTACAACGCTTGAAAAGCTGCCAAATGACCAGCTAAGCATGCGCTCTGTAGCCATGTAACAACAAGCAGCCAATCGGCCACACACCGCCGAATGTGGGTGCACACACGAAGAGCGGCGAAACATTTTCATATAAAAGCTAATGGACGGACCGACATCGACACCAATTCATTTTGTACTGTTAGACCGTAAAATCGTAAAAATGTGCGCGCAAAATATGAAATATTATTATTTAACAACGCTGTTGGTTGTAAGTAAAAAGTAGAGCAAGAGCGGCAGCAGCAGCTGTTTATCCACTCCGCTGGACTTAAATGTATATAGCGGCGGCAGTGACAGTGGAAGTGTGGTGTATAAGTGGTGTTGGTGTTGTTGTTGTTGTAGGCATGAAATTTTGCTGTGATTTTGCAGAAAAAAGTGTAAATTTGTTGCGAAATTCAAGAAGTCTTGCATTCTAAATGCAATATTTCAACATACAGTGCTTGCAAAAAATTTGTTACAACAGCGAAATCAACGCAAACACAGCTAATTAAATAAGGATAACAGCACAAAGCAAAAGAATACTTAGAAAAGCAATGAAGCAAACAGTGCAAAGAACTTTACAAAAATATAACAAAAAAAAGCAATTTTAAAATTTTCAAAAAATATATAAACAGAAAATTTCCATTTGTTTATTATTATTAATTTTTTTTATTTTGGATTTTTTAATAAAATATTTATATTTTTATTTCGCATTTGAAATACTTTTTTTTTTAATTTAAGAAAAAATTTTCACTTCATGTTTTTTTTTTAATTTTGAATAAGTTTTTTAATTTTGAATATTAAAAAAATATTTTTTTTTTAATTTTGAAATAAAATTTTAAATTAAGAAATTAAAACAAACGTTGAAATTTTAAATATTAATTGCAGTAATAGATTACCAAATTAAAATTTTAAATTAAAAAATTTAAAAGAAATTTGAAATTTTTTTTTGGAATAATAATTGAAGTAATAAATTACTAAAATACAAAAAAAATATATATACACATGTACATATTTATAGACACAGATCTACGAGGACAAAAAATACTTTAAAAGAAAAAATTGTTTGAAAAAACAAAACTTATCCAGATTTTTTTTCTAACTTGAAACTAAATTGTAAAAAAATATTTACATGATAAAAAAATAATTGAAAAAAATAAATCGTTTGCAAAAAACACTTCCTGTGTTTTCCAATTTTGGATTTACTAATATAATTAATTTTATTTTTGATGTAAAAATATTTTTTTTATCTTTTTTAGAGATTCATGTTTAATCTTATAATATATTTTTTGAACTTGGAATTTTGAAATATTTTTTTCTTTTTGTTTTTAAATTTTAAAATAAAAATTTTAGTTAAAACAATGAAAAACTTAAAAAATTTTGAAAAGTTCAAACATAAAAAAATTAAAAAAAAATTGTTTACTCCAAAATTTAATTGAATATACATATATGGATTTTTAAGAGAAAAGGTATAATGATTTGGTTTATAGATATTAAATTTAAAAAGTCAATTATAAAAGCTGAAATAAGTATGCAGAAATTTTGTCAGACAAATTGTCAAAGTACAAGTTTAAAAAAAATTTATAATATATAAACTATAATAAACATAACAAAACTAAAAACAGAAATATATACATATGTACATACCAAGATAAAAATTTATCCACTCGATTTTTAATTTTTAAATACATTTTTTTTAAATTAAAAAGTTTAGAAAATTTTGTATTATATATAAAAAATTGCTTACTCAAATACTTTAAAAAATATCGATTGTTTTAGAAAATAAACTTTAAAATCATTTTCGATTTTTATTTTTTAATTAATTTTTTTTTAAATCAAAAAGTTTTGAAAATGTATACATAAAAAATTGCTTACTCAAAAAAACTTATTTTTAAAAATATCGATTGTTTCAGAAAATAAATTTTAAAAATCATTTAAAAAAATTCAAATTTGAAATTTTGCTTAACTAAGTTTCACAAAAAACAATTAAAATATCTTATTATATAAAAAAATATTGGAAAATTAAAATGAATATATGTATATACAGAAAAAATTATTGAATTTAAAATGATAAAATTACAAAAAAAAAACGAATAATGAAAAAAATAAAGAAATTTATGAAAAAAAAGAAACAAATAATCATAACAAGAAAGTTATAAAAGTAAAAAATATATACAGTAAATATAATAAAAAAACTTGAATTTTTAACTAAATAATAAAAGAGACAGTTAACTTAAAAAAAATTTGTATAAACTTGCACTCTGATTTGTCAGCTGATATCAGCACTGGTGCTTGCCACTTATACGAAGTGAATGAACGGCGCAGCGCCTGTAACTGCATATTACGTACGCGCATGCGCCTGCGCCTTGCACTGTTGCATATGCGATGCCAAAAAAGAAAGCGAAAGTACGAGTAGCAGCGCTGCAATTGCTTGCCAACTTTTGCAGTATTTAAAACTAGTATATATGTATATGTGTGTGCAGTAGCTGCAATTTTAGTTGCTTTTCGATTTCTTTTAATCTTTCTCCGCTATTTGTATAATTGTTTTTGTATTGGAACTATTGCCAACAACTTTTGCTGCGTGCTGCCTGCAACTGCTGCACGTTTCTACTACGTAATTACCGTTAATAGTCATTTAGATAAATCATTGGAAGATAAACACACTGCAACAAGTCAATAACATTGTGGCACGCACGTCTGGGGCGTGTGGCTCTATCATACATAATCATATTTATATATGTACATCCACAAATACATTTGTTTTTTGTTGCATGGCACAAATGATTTGAAGTTAGCGGAATCGGGTTGAGCTTATGTCCATATATGGCGTATGATGCAACTGACGATGAAACTTGTTGCATGCAACTATTGTTGCGTTGATGAGCTCAAAAACTAGCTGCGTTTCGTACTGGTTTGACAGCTGTGCGCTTGTTGCAGGATGCGTTATTCCTGCTTTGGTTTGAGGAGGAAATGATTTTTTTTATAATTTACAGGATGGAAGAAAGAAAGTAACTCGTGACGTAGAAACGTTTTCCTTTACCTCAATGATTTATTCGCGATAAGTTTTAGATTAATTGGTTAAATAATAATTTTCGTCGGCGCTCACTGAACTCACTGAACTCTGATATCGGCCGTTTCGAAAAAAGAGCAGCTTCTTGGTGAGAAAAGAACCGGTGCAAAATTTCAGATCGATATTTCAAAACTTGGGAGACTAGTTCCCAACGCCCAACGCGCTGAGCATTTATATTTGTATATACTTTGTAGGGTCTCTAACGTTTCCTTTTGGGCTCTAAAAAATTAGTGGCAAACTTAGGATATAAAAAGGCATTAATTAGTAGAGTGGAGCGAAAAAAAAAAATTTTTTTGTTTGCTTAGTCTGAGGGTAAAATTTGTAGATTTAAAAAAAAGAAAATTTTTGGGAAAAAAAAAAGATTTTTACCATCTAGAGGCGGCCCACTCAGTTTTCAAGTAAATTTCGAGTTAAAATTTTTTTTGGACAAGAAAAAATTGTTTTTGCTTTAAACTCTTTACATTTATATAAAAATTACCGAATGTGACGGTTTTTGACTCAAAATTTATTTTAACGCTTAAGGAAAGCATGTTGTCGTTTAAGACTTTTTTTAAAACTCGAATAATGACCACAAACAAATTGTTTAAGTTGATAACTTTTAATTGGTTAGAAAGAGGACTCTCCACAGCTTCTAGAACACTATACAGATTCCAAATTATTAGCTTATAAAAAGAACTAGTCGATAATAAACTTAGTTGGTAGTTAAAAGAACTGCACTTATTTGAATTCACTTCATAATAGGACAATCTGTCTTCGTTGATCAGCGATCGCGGCTTGCGATCGTAAGCTGGTAGTTCAAGCTAATTCGTTGCTATAAAAGTTCGCCTAGATAAGCAGTTACAAATTACGGAATTCAATCCGGTTGCTGGATAATCACTACAAAATTCAAGAAACATTATTAAGCTAGAACAAAATAAGATGATCAGCCTTCAAAGATCGGTATTCATGATTTTTAGCCTTAGATCATTTTTGTATGAAGATTGTCATACCAGAAATTATGGTACGGCAAACTAAAAGCAACACCGAAAGCCAAAACGAAATAAAAACCCAGATATCAGATTTGTTCGTCTACCGATAATTTTGGGTTTATAACTACATTCGTGCGTTTTGTATTTTCAAAGTTGAGCATATATTTAAGAAAAACTTGTACAATAGTATTATTCAAAACATTGCTCATCGGAAGCTATAACCTTTTTGCATATTTCTGGCAATTTGTGGTTTCCAACCCAAAAGAACTGCGCCAATATTTGATATCCTATTCTGATGTGAACTGTTTTCCAGTGAGGGTGTCCTGCGTTGGCCGAAACAAAAGGTAGTCAGAAGGGGCAGGAACAGGGAAGCAAAACTCGCAACGACTGTTTTCTCAAATAGTTTTTAAACGGTCTTAAAACATGAGACCGACTTTTGTCTTTATGGAAAACTATTGCCTTGTGCTTGGTTGTTTATTTTCCGTGTTTTTCAGCACTCGTTCGCTACAATTTGATGATTTGTTATATGTAGCGTTCGCCATTAATGGTTTCACCTAGTTCTGATCCCCTAAATACCGAGCATTACATTGGCGTTATAGATATTTGGCCACTTTTAAATCGTGCAAACCACGTCTGTGACGTTCGTTCAGCTAGAGCATGTCCACCATAGACTTTTGGCTGATATTTTCTTCATATCATCTAAGTTGATACTGAAAGTTACACATGTTTCTCAACAGATCATAACTTAACAATCTGAGTCAATCCACAACACTTATTATATAATACAATTTCCACAGTATTTTATGAATTCATAAAAATCGTATACTAATTTTTTTTGCTTTTCTTTTACAGCTCTTAGCTTTGTTTCACTCAGTCGAGTCGCAAAGTAATGCACGTTACAGTCGGCGCAGACCAGCATTAGGTAATGCTAAAGAATCCGTCGAAGATGCAACGGAAAAGTCTGAGGGTGCTGCTGATCAACTAGCACTCGCCGCTAGGCATGTAGATAAAAATCCACAAAGACGCAGTGGCACCTATGCTAGAGATGGAGATGGTAAGTCCAAAGAAAACTGGTAGTTTCTAATTGCGAAGCTCGCATAAACTTATTCTGTTCCACAGAATATCCTTATGGTAATTTGGAAATGAATCTTATACGTCCAGAGAGCGAACCGGTACACACACAGATCACAGCCAAGTATACGAGCACATTAAGTGCATCACGTCCCTACGAATCAGGTTCATTGGAAGACGCCGAAACTGCTGAGGAATATGTAGCTAATGCCATGAAGATGCAACGTTATGGCACACGTTTGCGCGAGCCCATACGCATACTGTCCACTGAAGATGCGTTACAAGCGGGACCAAAGACGCCGTCACCACAATCTAACGACGAGTCAGCCGACGAGAGAAATGCTCCACCGCCGAGCAATATCAAATTTGAGTATTACCATACTGCATCACAACAACAACAGTTACAGCAACAGCAGTTACAACAACAAACGCCCCAACATTTGGATAATAACCATCAGACACTTTTGGAAGCACAAATGCGTGCACAATTGCAGGCGCAAATCCAACAGGCCCAACAAGCGCAGCAGCAAGCGGAGAGTCAGCAACAACAACTCGAGGCACAAACGGAACGTGGTCAGGCAATTGCTGTGGGGACTGTCCATGATGGCGTGCCGCAACAGGTAGCATCTGCTTATAATCGAGACCAGGTAACGCGCTCTTACGAGGTTTATGATGACAGCAATGCTTACGAAGCCAGTGTTGAAGCTGGTGCAAGTGGTGGTAGTGTTGTCACTGACGGTGATGGCGTCGATCGCCACTATCGCACAAAATATCTCTTTCAACCAGCCTATCAAGGAGTCAGCGTTGCGCCGGCAAAGCCCGAGCCAGAGCAGCTGCGCGGCTCTGCATCAACGGAAATACCCAAAGCGGAAATAATGAAGCAGATCGAAAAATCAGTGATGAAATATATGAAAGAGCTTGAAGCTGAAGGCAAGATCGTCACTTCGCCGCAAGAGCCGAAAACATATTACAAAATGGTGTCTGTACCAGTCGAAGAGAAGCATATTACAACGACAACAACACGTCCGAAACATTCCGGCGCTACACCCGCGCTCAATGCTGTGTATACGAGTGGCAGTGAAAGTGGCAATCCTTCATTAGCGCCAGCAACTGGATCATCGCACCGTACGTCCACGCATGACAGCATTTCCGGTTACTCCAGTTCACGCCATCACGCGCCCAAACATCAGCTAAAGTCAACTCAACGCTATCAATCAGAAGCCGAGACTGCTTATCGCGCACAAGCTGGCGCACATCAGCCACATGAGGTCGCCGAGGCACTGGCGCCAAATGTTGAATTTGTTTACAAAATCAAGACACGCGCACCACTGCAAACGGCCACCGTCAAAACAATTTCGAAACCATATACGTTGCCACTTAAAGGTACCTATGACCATTTCGATCACGGCGCAGCGCTGAAACATATCGAGGACTTTGATCTTTCGCATGTGGTCACCACGCAAGAGCCCGATGAGCGTCCATCTTCGTTGAGTGCGAGTGTGACAAGCAAGCCAAATAAGCTTTACTTTAACTCGGAAATCTATCACGATATTAACTCTTTACCATTCAAGCACGAAAAATCACGCACTCTGTCCACGGCTGGCGCTGGCACAGCAGCTGCCGAATATCGCAAACTAAAAGCTAGTAATGGTGAATTAAGCGTCGATTACAAGGGTTACTCCGGTTATTTTGCCGAACCTGGTGTACAAGCGGACACCTCCGATGAGAAAGACACAAGCGCTGGATCTAGCGCGCAGGTGTCAGAAGATGGTTACCCCGTCATGAATCCCTATCAGTACGTGCTGAAGAAGGAACCACTGCCGCAAAAGTATGAAGAGCCCAGCTCCAGTTGGGTTGAAGCGCGTGCTAAGCCTTCATACGCGGCATTGAGCGCCTCACAGAAGGGCCTAGAATATGATAGCTACAGTCCGAAATTTAACAATAATCCTGAAGGCTATGGCTATCAGCACACATACAAAGCGGAACGTGAACGCGAACGGGAACGTGAACCACAGCATAGCGGGCACAAGTATGCCGTTAGTCGCTTGCCTACCAGTGGTAACAGTAAGCGAGGTAAGCGCGGCGGTGGCTTACCATATCCGAATGTAAATAAGAAGGCGCTACGTAATGCGGCCGTGAAAGATATTGAGGCGAACTTGGCGCTACGTCCGCCACCGAAAAATTAACGGTATAGGGTTGATTTTTATACATGCAATAATTTTGAGTTTTTCGTTTATTTATTAATTTATCTTTTCATTTTATATAACTGTCATGGCACTGTTGTATGCCCGTCTGCAGTTATGCAACGATATTTCTACAAATTACGTATTACATTTTAAAATATATGCCAATTTTCAAGTGCAATGTTAGCTTAAGTATACCATATATTTATAATAAAATAATAACGGTATTTAATTGTGTTTCTATTATAGTAAATATTATTATTTATATCTAAACCGTTTTGTATTTATTTATATAATAAACCATTTAAAATGTAAAATTTTCGTAATTTAGTTTAATATAAACGCCTAAATGTAGATTATAGAGAGAATTAGTGTTGCCAACTTTGGATTTCAGACCAAAATAATTTGATTCCCTTAAAATTTGAAAGAATTTGTACGAGCTTTTATATAAGAGCATTCTGAAGATCTGATTTGTCTGAAGTAGGATGCTTGATAATAAATAAATTCTAATGCGAAAAGAGTGAAGGTTTTCCATCATGTGTTTACTTCACATTTTAAATTATTACGGAAAAACTTCTTTCCGAAATTATATTCTCCACAATAAAATTTGCAAATATCAGTTATACCGTTTGAACTTCCAACCACCGCACTTGCTTTTCTTATTATCAAATACAACCATAAAGTTCCCACGTTCCTTATATCAAAACCACAATTTGCGTTGATATATTATATATGGTATTTATACATAGCAGGTGGGCGCTACTAAACGTACTCAACTCAACCAGTAAACTACGATCGAAATGGTTGAAATCTAATGGATTACAAAACTGAGTTGTTTCATATAAGCTGTTCACAGGCCTATTTTTATTAGGATATTATTGTAATTGCGTAGGAGAGTTACGTGAGCATCGCTTCCCACAGAGCAATTCTATTTTTCCAGAAAACTCGAAAACTTAATCGCACAAAACCTATAATCTCGAACTGTGTTTGAGAGTGATTTTTCGATATTACAAAAATAAAGTGCTTTGTATTACATGTTCAACGAAAAGTTCTACATCAGAGAGCTTTCCAGTTACTTGATGCTGGCTTTCATTTTTCCATCCCATTTATCTTCATAAACTTTAAGCATAAAAAAGTATCTTTATGTTATCTGGTGAGACACTTTCGACACCCTTATGCATATATTCCGCTTATCTCTTTCAAAGAAAATAATAATTGAAATTGATAACAATACATATTATACATTTTCCATGAAGATAGTTTAAAATAGAACTTATCGAGGTATGCAAGCTTCACGAAAGCTTTAGTATAAAATGGAATTTCCACTGTGGCGTCGAGTCAGTACATTGAGTGCCAAAGAGCAGGAGTTGTATTTTTAATTTTGATTTTATTTTATTTCTAGCAGAAAAATGTCATTAGCGTATCTGGACCTGAAACCGTTAATGTACGCAATGATGTCACCACAATTGGCAGATCATGCAAATTGTATATAAATTCTACAACGAACGAAGTTCACGGATATTTTATTCGAGTTTCCCTACACGAAATATAAGTAAATTTTGTTTTGAATTGTTTTGTTGAAATTCTCAACCAGAATATTATATATTTGAGTTGAGAATAAAACCGTTTATTAGATTTACAGCACATCGCCTGATTCTCGCAGCGGCAAGCATATTTTCTAGAACTCTTCGACAATGCGACGACGATTGCAACTCGCTAACGGTAACGAAAATGGAAAGTGATACTTTGAACAATTGGTAATCTACTGCTACAACGGACAGACGAATATTACGATGGTAATGGAGGTATGGCCAAAGCTATGCTGTTACGTTTATACGATGTTGTTGACATTGTGTAAATTACATGATGGATCATATAAGATTTCATAGTACGCAAGCTGATTACATTCAACGGAAATGGAGTACAAAATTTGAAACGCGTTTACTCGCTTATATTGTAAGAATTTCGAGCAGGTGAGTGAAAATTCTGGAAATTCCTCTAACAAAGAAATAAAACAGAACAATATTTTATAAGTTCTTTTCCGATTTTAGTTAGGTTTTCTTCGAGTTGATAGATGAAGGGTGATTGAAATTATCTGACATTAAGATGATTTTAAAGCTTTAACCCGCCTCTTAACTACGTTGAATCAAACGTACTCTTAGAAAACGCTCATACTCTAACTATAGAATATACTCGAAGTCTGGGTGTGAACTCAGAAACATTCGAATTCGCATCAAGTACTCAATACAGAAGTCCAAGGCATTAAAGATCACATAAGAAGCGGATAAGCTTTTGAACCAAAAATGTCTAGGTAAAAGAAGGAGAGAACCGCTTACAAAACCTTTTATTGTACAATAGATTATGGCAACTTGGGACATTATTGTAGAGTTATATACAGAACTTTTTAGTCTAACGTAAGTGAAACTCGTTATCACGCTGTACTTTCATAAAATTTCGTAGAGAGTATCCTTAAAGATCGAACTGGATAAAAGCTCAGATATCATAATATAACTTACTTGCACAAACTGAAATAGGAAGCAATTAGATTGGCGTATATAAGCGAAAAGTCAAGGAAAGTTGAGGTGCTCACTAGACAAATAGTCACATATAGCTATTTTCCACCATTTGAAAAACGCTGTTACTAAAATTCCTTTTATTTATAAAGCACTGGGTCTTTCAATAAAATCCCTTTTAGTTGAACCAAAATGCGAAATATTTGATTTAATGTGGCACAATGGAAATTTATCATAAAGATTGGACGTCAATGTAGTTGCCACGGATATATTTCGGCCATCAAAGGCTGGTATGAGTACAAAGCCACCGAGCGTCAGCAATATTTACCCGATTTGATCGGTTCGTTGCACTTAACGATGATAGCGACTTTCTTCGACAGCAAATTAAACCATTACCCGAAGGTTTAGCAACAGAAGTTAAAGACGTGGCGAACTGCCTTCGTGGGTGGCGCGTACAGACTAGGGGTGAAGTAAGTCGGTAGTTATATAATATTTATATACTTGTGTACGAACATATTGATTTTGAAGGATCGTTTTGGTTATAAGGACATATTACTTTACAATCAGGCTAAAGAGGAATGGGTAAAAGTTATAAGCTTGAAATTGAAAAATTTTATTTCAGCACAGCATTTATGGAGAATAGTCTCTTCTTCATTGGTGGAATTAAAACGAATGGCGCAAGCGCGATCGCTCAGATACAATTTGTAACAAACAAATTTTCAGAAATACCATCATTGAAAACTGATCGTTTTAGCAGTAGTGTTGCAGTAGTGAATAATTTATATATGTTATTGGTGGTACGAATGATAGTATGGATCCGCTGCTTAGTATGGAATGGTAAGATTTTGGTAAACAGAGGTACGAGTGCTGTCTAATACCATGTTATGATTTATTAAGTTACAGTACGTCAATCGGGCGTTGGGAGTATACGTCTCACCTTTTATGTATCGCACTTTAGCCGGTGTTGCTATCTTGAATGATGATATCTACTTAATAGGTGGTAAGGATTTTCACGTCAAATAGTGTAGAGCGTTATAATATTGTCACAAAACGATGGTATTATTGCGAAGGAATGGCTGAAGCACGTGAAAATCCAGGTGTGATGACTATAAAGAGTGATATTTTAGCCGATTCCCGTTATTTTGTAAATTGAGGCATAATTAATACGATAATTAGTTGTTTATATTTAGATATAAGCATTAAGTACCGTTCATATGATTATTACTATTTATGAATATCCGACATCTAGGACATACTTGTTTACAAAGAGTTTTATAGTTTTCTCATTTTCGTATTATTTATATTTACGTCTATGATCTGATCGCTCTATTACTTTTAGATTTATTCCTAATTTTTAGAATCTTTCCAAAAATAAGAATAATGTAAGGAAAATATTTTCATCTCAGGTGGTTGCGCATAAAGATATTTACGCAAGGTGATGTCCTAAAGATTTGAAAACTGGAACGTTATGATCCAAAACAAGACAAATGGACTAAGGTTCTATACGAAATTCTAGATTTTCGATTTTTTTATTCAACTGCTTATACATATTTCATTCCAGATAGCTTCGTTGAATGTGGCACGTAGACATATCTGCCGCCGCAATAGGTGATCAATTGTGGGCATTTGGTGGTGTGATTGGTCATGCTCAGAGACGATACGTCGAGGTTTACAATGTGACCAGCGATAAGTGGCTGGTAAAGAAAAAATGCGGTAACTGGAGAGTTTGATTGTGTAACACTGCCAACAAGCTGGCCGATAATCTTAAATGAGATTGAAAAAATATAATAGCCTATAAAATATTGAAATACAAACAAATATTATATTATATAAAATAAATTTCATTAACTTATAAATATTCTGTTTGGTTCGATTTCAATTTATTCAAGTTTGAAAAGCATCATATGAGTCCAAAGATATATAAGTTTGTTGTTTGGCAAGTGTTCCTTTAAGAATAAATTTATAAATTATGGATCTCAGAATTTCCAACAACCTGTTAAACTCTATTTCTAAAGGAGAAGGAGTTAAGCAATTTTATGGATCTCAAAGTGAGTAGAAGCTGAACCGTTAGGGGAATGAAAATGCATAAAAATAAAATTTGGAAACTTTTGGGAAAGTCGTAGCTATAATCAGTATATAAATCTGGTGTTGGTCTATATTTAGCGAGGTCTACATCAATTTCTAATAACTATAAAAGTGACGCAAGCATTTTGCCACAGAACGATTGAAAACCTAACGTTTAAACAAAGCTAAGGATACGTTATTAATCTTCGATTTGTATGTCTATTAAAGTCAAGAAAAGTGTTACATAATGCCTGGATTAAGATTTTCGGTTCATCCTTTTGATCGTGATAAGTCTAGGCATTCCAAGGCCTATCGATAGCTCGATTCACACTGCAAACGCTTTAGTAAATATAAAAACTTCCGACTTCAACAAAAAGATGCATATGGTTTAGAATATCTAGACCTGTTGATATCGATGATTAGTAACGAGATTTTTAGTATTTACATGGAATAACGAAAATCTGGTATCGAAACATTAGAAACCTTACTAAGACAAATAGTAAATGTTGGTCAAACTGAAAGGGTTGCTTAATTCCTTATAGAGCTTGTAAAAAGCTTCGTCATAATTATAAATATCGCTGAGATCCTGTAATAACCAAACGCACGCAAAGTCGGTTGACTACAACATTCATAAACTAGTAATATCTTTCTTGAGACACTATTTAAATTTAATCTACAACGAGTAAATGCAAATTTATTTATCTTAATAATTAGTAAATGTGCACTCTATGAAAACGGAGTCAACACAAATTTAGATCACTAAAAGCAATTCGCTTCTCTATCTATCTCTTCATCGTTTGTTATTCCGTTCACTTATTCGTGGTGATATCGTTCGTAGGGCTCAGATGCTCGTGGAAATGTGACACGCTCTTCTTCCAAGACCAAACCGTAATTGTGGCAAAAATTCGGGACAAAATTTTCAATTTCTGCTTTATACTGCCAATTTCGATTGGATTCTTGAGCAAGTGTTTGTTCTTGATATAGACGGTACCGGATAGAAATAATGAAATTGAACACTTTGATGTGATTTATCATTTTGTGTATTACACATAATGTCTGTTTCATTCTAAGGTTCCCTGTTTCGTTACTCTCCTGCTTATTTTCTGATTTGTAATTACAATTATAAAGTTCCACGCTCCATATATAATATAGCAATAATATCACTACAAATTCTGTCGATATATATTTATACATAGTAGGGTGATACTAAAGTACCCAACCCAATCTGTAAACTTGATAGCAATGGTCGAATGATAACGGATTACAACCGTTGTTTATATAACATATGCTGTTCAGGACTATTTTTTAACAATGATTTTATTTGCTTAGTAGAGTTGTATGGTAATAGCCGAAAGTGAAGAGAAGAGCATTCTATCTACGTGAAAACTCGGAATCATAACTTAACAAAAACCGTAATCTCAAACATTTTTAAGAAATTATTTTTGGAAAATATCAATGAGGTGAGGTAAATTACAGAGAAATATAGGGACCGTTGGAATGAGCGGCGCCGAAAGTTCTCAAGACAGTAGAAATTAAACGAAATTCGCGAATATGCTTTAGACTGTTCAACCAGGTTGTACATCAGAGAGCTTTCCAGTTACTTGATGCTGGCTTTCATTTTCCATCCCATTTATCTTCATAAACTTTAAGCATAAAAGAGTATCTTTATATTCTAGTAAGACACTTCTGCGACCACCCTTATGCATATATTCCGCTTATCTCTTTCAAAGAAAAATAATAATTCGAAATAGCAATATATTATAAATTTCATGAGAATAGTTTAAAATAGAACTTTGCAACTGCGGTTGACGCAAGCTTCACGAAAGCTTTCAGTATAAAATGGAATTTATGTGGCGTCGAGTCAGTATTGCAGTGCCACAAGAGCAGGAGTGTATTTTAATTTTGATTTATTATTCATTTCTAGCAGAAAATGTCACTTAGCGTATCTTATCCACACCGTTAATGTACGCAATGATGTCCGCCAAAATTTTGAGATAATGCAAATTGTATATAAGCTCTACAAGAACAGAAGTACACGGATATTTATTCGAGTTTCCTACGAAATATAAGTAAATTGTTGTGTTGAATTGTTGTTGTTGAATTTCAACTCAGATTATTACATATATTTGAGTTGAGAATAAAACCGTTTATTAGATTTACAGCACATCGCCTGATTCTCGCAGCAGGCAAGCCCATATTTTCTAGAACTCTTCGACAATGCCGACGACGATTGCAACTCGCTAACGGTAACGAAAATGGAAAGTGATACTTTTGAACAATTGGTAATCTACTGCTACAACGGACAGACGGATATTACGGCTGGTAATGCAGAGCGTATGGCCAAAGGCGCTGCTGTTACGTTTATACGATGTTGTTGACATTTGTGTAAATTACATGATGGATCATAAATAGATTTCTTAGTACGCAAGCTGATTACATTGGCAACGGAAATGGAGTACAAAAATTTGAAACGCGTTTACTCGCTTATATTGTAAGAACTTTAAGGAGGTGAGTTAAAATTTTTGCGAGAATTCTCTGTGGTTATAAGTTAGTCACTTCCCGCGATATATCCTGGTAAGCTAAATGAGCTGCGGCCTTCACGAGCGTCAAAATTCTACGAACCGGCCCAACAGACATGAATAGGAAAACAAAACAACAACAAAGAAAAAAATAGATCTGGTGGAAATATGCGGAACCTACCTTGAATTGGACATGTCCCGATTGGGAATCGTTCTCCATGAAAGTGAGTGAAAAACATTACATTTTAAAGGATTTGGCTGGAAACGAAGGTAGGGCTGATGTGCGAGGCGGATTCCCAGCACAAGCAGAGTTTACTCGTGGGGTTCGGAGACCTCAGGCAATATTTAATGCTCCGGTGGAAATCAGGCGACGGCAGCAAAGTAGTAGCAGTCCGACAGCCGCGGCAGCAAAGATAATTGCTCGGTAAGGTGGTAGGAAGACTGTTGAGGAATCTGAGCAACATGCCAGTACACTTGAGTGGGCTAGAAGGGTGCTTAATGGCGACGAAAATTGCGGAACATAGAGTTCGAGTGAGTCCCAACCGATGGCGGATAGCATGATAGGGAATACTCCTTCGATAAGAAAACTCGCAGGGAGCAGCACCAACCTTCGGCGAAATCGCTACGGACTGACTCAATAGAACTGAGAGTGTGTGATCGCAAGTGGGTCACGGCGGCTATATCCACGGCCTTCGTAAAGGTGATCAAAGCAAACGCCGCGTCAGATCCTAGGGTGAGAGTGCGGGTTGGAACTACGATATCAACAAGTAAGGAAGCGTTAGGCTGAGTTGAAAAGGTATGGAAGGGAGCTAGACTGGAGGCTTTCGCCAAACTGATTGCAAAGTTAGAGTGTGAACTCAGACATATTTCAATTGTCATCTAGTACTTAATCAGAAGTCTAATGCGTTCAGAGCTACGCAATAATGGGTTAGCTTTTAACTCTAAATTGTTGAAAGAGAAGGGGAGAGAAGTTCGAACCTCTTATGAAACATGCCTACAATATAGGGATAATTGAATTTTCCATCACTTTCGTAGAGATTATACACAACTTGTTTTAGTCAAGCTTCTTATCACTGTTTACTTCATAAAATTTTGGAGGGTATTATTGATTACCCGTGAAAGATCGAGTTAGTTTAGAGTTAATTGGGATAAGAACTAATAAGTTTGTTCGCTTCTCTATAAGTGAAAGAGTCAAGGAGGACCTCATAGACAAATAGTCAGGTATAGCTAATAATTATGAAACGTTGTTTTTTTTATTATAAAGCCCTTATTTATTTAAGTCTTTTACAAAAAATCCCTTTAGTTGAACCAAAATGGCGAAATATTTGATCTCAATGTGGCACAGTGGATTATCATAAAAGAATTGGACGTCAATGTAGTTTCCCAAGCGGTATATTTTGGGCCATCAAATGCTGGTATGAGACAAAGCAACCGAGCGCTCAGCAATATCGCCGATTTGATCGGTTCGCTTGCACTACGAATTTGACAACGATTTTCTAAGACAGCAAATTAAACCATTACCCGGTTGTGAAGGTTTAGCAACAGAAGCGCTTAAAAGACGTGGCGACTTTACGTGGGTGGCGGTACAGAAGGGTGAAGTAAGTGGGGATTTTTATTTACATATATATTTAATAAGAACCAATTGGTTTTAAGAATTGGTTAGGTTATAAGGATATATTATTTACAAGTATAAAGAGGAATGGATAAAAGTACAGGCTTGGAAATTAAAAGATATTTCAGCACAGCATTATGGAGAATAGTTCTTCTTCATCGGCGGCCGCAGCATGGATGGTATAAGGCGTTGCTGTCTCTACAATTTGCTAACAAAAATTTACAGAAATGCCGTCATTGCAAGATAAGCGTACTAGCACTAGTGTTGCAGTAGTGAATAATGCTATATATGTTTTGGTGGTAAGGCTGCAATGACTCGCTGATTAGTGTGGAATGGTAAGACGTCTGGTAAACAGTAGATATTAGTGCTATTCTAATATCATATTATATTTATGTAATATTATATATTACAGTTACAGTACGTCAATTGGGCGTTGGGAGTATAGATCTGCCATTCCTACACGTCGGGCTTCAGCCGGCGTTGCATCTTGAATGATGACATATACTTAATAGGTGGTAAGGATTTGCGCCTTAAACAAAGTAGACCGTTATAATGTTGCACTAATAGCTGGCATTATTGTAACCCAATGACTGAAGCAACGAGAAAGTCCAGCAGTAATCAAATTTGGCTAAAGATTGATAATTTGGCCGATTGCCGATTATATTTTGTAAATTGAGACATAATTAATACGATAATTAGTTGTTAATGTTTAGGTATAAGCATTAAGTTGTACCACTATTTGTACACAAATGAACATAATTGTTTTGCATGAAAAATATTTTCGATCCAGTATTAATTTTTAACTTTAATAAATCACAATACAATATATTTCCATCTCAGGTGGTTGCGCATCAAGGTTATATTTACGCTGAGTGGAGGTTTAGTGACTTGAAAACGTCGAACGCTGATCCAAAGCAAGACAAATGGACTAAGGTTGGGTCGTATACGATATTTTCTGATTTTTGAAACATTAAATATTTTTATTACAGATAGCTTCGTTGAATGTCGCGCGTAGATACATCTGGCCGCCTGATAGGTAATCAATTGTGGGCATTTGGTGGCGTGATCGGTCCCTACAGTGGGACGATACTGTCGAGGTTTACGATGTATCCAGTGATAAATGGCTGGTAAAGAAAAATTACCGGTTACTGGAAAGTTTGATTGTGTAGCAATGCCTACAAGCTTGGCCGATAATCTTAAATGAGATTCGAAAATCTATAATAGCTTGTCATATATTTAACCACAAGCAAATAAATGAAATAAATTTCATTAACTATAAACAAACTGTTTGGTTCGATCTTAATTTATTGAAGTTTGAAGAGCATCATATGAGCTCTAAAAGATATATAAGTTTGTTGTTTGCCTATGTTGTTTTACAAGAATAAATTTATAAATGACGAATCTCAGAATTTCCAACAACTCTGTTAAACTCTATTTCTAAAGGAGAAGGTAAGCAATTATTATGGGTGTCAAAGTGACGTAGAAGCTGACCCGTTAGGGAACGAAAATGCATAAAAATAAAATTTGAAACTTTTGGGAAAGTCGTAGCTATAATCAGTATATAAATCTACGGTGTTGGTCTATATTTAGCGAGGTCTACATCAATTTCTAATAACTATAAAGTGAAGAAGCTTTCTCCTTACCATTCAAGGCTATCGATAGTTGATTCACTACTGAAACGCTTTAGTAAGTTTATATACTCTCACTTGGTCAAAAAGGATGATATGGTTTAGAATATCTAGACCTGGTTGATATCGATGATTAGTAACGAGATTTTTAGTTATATTTCATGGACTAGCTAGAAAACCTGGTATCGAAACATTAGAAACCTTACTAAGAGCAAATATTAAATGTTGGTCCAAACTGAAAGGATTGCTTAATTCCTATAGAGCTTGTAAAAAGCTTGCGTCATAATTATAAATATCGCTGAGATCCTGTAATGAACAAACGCACGCCGAGTCGACTGAACTAATAATATTTTCCTTATGAAACACTCTTTATTTAATATACAATTGACGAGCATCTGAATGCTCAGTATTCTATTTAAACAATATACACATTTAAAAATACGAGTTAATTGTTCTATAATAATTAGTGAATGCTCCATTTGCAACAAGTGTGACCATTGTATAAAAGTTTCAAAATTAACACAACATTTAACTAAAATTTGGCGGCACTGCTATGAAAACAAATGTCAAACTCAATTTTAGATCACTAAAGCAAACGATTGCGGCTTTCAGTTCTTTTCTTAAGCTTTACTCAACTCGTTTCTCTCTCTCTCTCTCTCTTCGTCTTATTCGTGATGAGATAATGTTCGTAGTGTTCCAGATGTGGTTCATGATGTTCGATTTCGTGATGTCCGTGCTCGTGGATATGTGACTCGCTCTCTTCTTCCAAAACCAAACCGTAATTGTGGCTGTGCTCAGTTTTGGGATGTAAAATTTTTAATTTCTGCTTGGTACCGCCAATTTCGATGGGATTCTTGAGCAAGTGTTTGTCCTTGATATAGACCGGTACCGGATGGAAATGATGGAATTTGACACTTTGATGTGAAGTGGCATGTTTGTGTTCCACTTCATGATGGTGCTCCGATTCCTCAGGTTCCTTGTGATGCTCGTACTCGTGATGCTCGAAGTCGTGTATTTTCAAAGCTGTTGCCAAGGTTAGCAAACAAGCAAAAGAAAGTAACTGTAAGGAAATTTTATCATGAGAATTTAAGTGGCAAGTAGAAGGGGAATGAGTATGTGAGCTTTTTATTAATAATTAAAAATCCCAAATATATAAATGTCGTAATAAAAATATTTTAATAAAGTGGTGAAATTGCTGGCGTGAATTTTTTTTAGAAAAAGCATTCATAATTAAAAATAATAATTTCTAAAGCATTTTCAAATAATAAAATATTTACATTGTTTATAATAATTATTTTTTTCTAAACTATTTTTTTTTTAGACTTATAATAAAAATTCATGTAGCTAAATATTTACATTATTCAATTTAATTATTATGATTATTATTATATTATTGTATTTAAAATTTTTTTAAAGTAATTTTTCCTTTCAAAATTTATATTAAAAATTGCTATATTTGACAAACAAATAATAATAGCAAATATTGAATATTTATTGTAGGTTTTCAAATTAAAAGAATTACAAAAAAACTAATAAGTCAAAGAATAAAATATTTACATTACTGATTTCAGTTATTATTGGTATTATTATTTATTATTTTTATAATTTTTTATCGATTTAAGAAATAATTTACATTATTAAATTTCATTATTATTTTTTTTTACTAATAGTTTTTAAGATTTATATTAAAAATTCTCATATTTGTGTTTGTTTGTATGTATGTTTATCATGTTTTTGTGTGTTATCGAATCAAAAAAATAGTTTTTAAAGGCATTTTCAGAAATTAAAATATTTATTAAATAAAAATATTATTATTATTCTTTATATTTTTCTTTATTAATTTTTTTTTTAGATTTATTGAATTTAGTTATTATTCTTTATATTTTTAAATTGTTTCTTAATTATTTATTTAAAATTTTGATTACTATTTTTTAAAATTTGTAATAAAAATCCATATACTTGGGAAAAAAAAACAATAGAATATATTCAAAACATTTTTTTTGTAATTTCGAATTAAAAAAACATTTTCCAATAATAAAATATTTACATAATATATTTTAATCACTATTATTTCTATATCTTTTATCTGAAATTCATATTCATAGCAAAACTTAATATAAGCACATGTTGTTAATATATTTTTTTACGTTTTCGAATTAAAAAATTGAATTCCAAAGCATTATCAAAAAAAAATTTTTTTCATTACTTATTTTATTCATTAATTTTTTTTATTTTTTCGTTTTTGTCAAGATTTATTAAAAAACTTTAATAAACTAAACAAAATATTTATTTTTTTAAATAAAATATTTACTTTATTGATTTTAATCAATTATATTATGATTCTTCTTTTATAAATTCTGATTTTGAATTATTGAAAATAAAATAATTGTGTGACTTAAGTTTTTAAGTATATGTTTTATTGCTTTTTTTTCAAATAATTTTCACTTCAATTCTTACGATAAATTTCAGCATTTTGCAGAACACTTCTCGAAATTAACAGCTAACAGCAGTCACGTGAGCGCACACCCACACAAATGCACGGTATTAAGCGAACGTCCGTCAAGGACTTTTGTTTACATATATTTTATTTTATTTTATTTTTTTTCTATTTGCCTGCACTTTGCTTGTTTACACACACACTTTCGTCGCAACACTCGAGCTCGAAGAGACGTTGTTAACCGTGGCAGCTTAGCGTACTGAATGTGGCCAATGTGCGCTTACCAGATACGATTTATACCATTTGGCATGCGCCGCTGAGCCACAGCTAAACAACAAAAACAACAACAACATTTCAAAATTTAAAGGAAAATCGTGCGCGTACTGGCGAACTGGTGAAGCGATCGGCACCCGGTTTTGTATTTAACGGTGGCGTTAACAACAAATAACAGGCAGGAAAAAAGTGTAAAAGAGTAGTATGAGCAACAAAATAAAAACAACAAATTGAATATGAACAACAATAGCAGTATGCGGGGTTAGCGTAAAGCTAACGAACTCGCTGCATTCAATTTTCCCAGCCAATTTCCTTTTCTATTATTTAGTTTTAAACGCTTAAGCGCTTATGTTGTTGTTAAACAGTTATTTATGACAGCTACTTTCTTAAGCTTTTCACTAGTTAATATCCAACAAGTCGCAATTGGTAAATTACAAACTAAATTCGTTTAAATAATCTTTTAAAATATTTCCAAGCTCCTCAAAGTACTCCTTTTTTTTGCAACACGTGCAAGAAATCGCAACGCTTAAACAATGCGAGCAGCTTCGTTACACGGTTAGTTAAAAACGGGGGCGGAGAAGAGCATACCGTTATTGCATTTAATGTCAAATGGCTCGGCAAAGTATTCATTTTATAGCATATAATCGAAAAAAAATCACAAGAACAACAAAAAAAACCGTTAAACAAAAAAATTATCTATAAAAGAGTAAGCAGGGTTCTTATAGAAAAAAAACTGTCAAGGGTACCAAAACCATGGAAAAAAAAAACCAAAAAAAAAGCCATTTGCTCGAAAGGAATGACGTTACAGAAGAAAAAACTGGGAAACATGTCAACGAAAGTAAGTAAGGCTGAAATAAAATCACGTTTACTCTCTGCAGGCGCTTACGAAACACTGTAGATCAAGGGAGCTAGAGGAGAGGGGAGAGAGAGAGAGGAATATTAAGAAAAAATTACCGTATGATGGCCAAATAGGCTGATTTAACTGTATGCAATAGAAAAATATACCCCAAAAGCACAAAAGCTCTACTTCATTATAAAGCAGAGAGGAATAATAATAAATGTAAAAAGATTCCCAAAGCAAATAAAATCAAATGAAATATAACAGATCGGAGAAAATTCTAAATAACCTATCCTTGCTAAAAAGCTTTAAAGCTCACTCGCGGTAATAAAATCACAAAGTAACTAGGATATAATTAAACCAAATAAATCCCATACTATCTTGGAGATATATAAAAGCTTCACCAAAAAACGGATTAAAGTGATACAACCAATAAAAAAATAAAAAATTTAACCTCATACGTTGACTGATGGAGCTAAAAAGCTTTAATCATCACAAATCTCAAAGCGTCAGAAACGAATTAATAAAATAATTATAAAAATTATATAAATAAAAGTGACTAGTTGAGCTTTAATTGGTGCCGTAAGACCACTCAGAAGGAATGAAAAAATTAAGTTAAAATGCTTAACTCTTCATACAACACAACGCGCTAATTAAGAGCAACCTCAAGAGCTTTTAAGCTTTAGCACAGAAAACGTCTAAGAGCTTTAAAGCTTTTTTTGCTACAAAACTATATGTACACATTAGTAAGCGATAGCTACATCTTCTGTATTTGTGAAGGATCAATTATGAAAATCAACGCAATCAAAATGGAAAGCTGTAAGAAAAAGCTCAGCCGTTTGGCAGCGATTATTGGGGAAGCTTTCTGCATTGTAAATATTATATAGGTGTGTATTATGAAAACAAAAATGTGAAAGGGTATTTCGCCACCGGCATCATCGGAATCTGAAGCTCTCAAATGTAATGCCTCTTAAAACTCTAAATTTTACCGTAAATGTTACGCATACGCACCGTACCAGTCCAACAATGACAGCAATAATAATGACCAAAAACAGCAGTGACCATTTGAAAAATGTTGATAATGAAACAATACAAAAACTTTATGAGCTATGACAGGTGGCAATGACAATTTAATGAACGGTTATCAGAAAACCTCAACAGATTACTGAGAAAAACATAAAAAATGCAAGCTGAAGCGAACTTGATGAGAAGCAAATGAAAATAGAAACTAAAAATCAAGAAATTCAAGTTTAATTATCACAAATAAATATTTTTGCAATTAAATATATGCGCATGCGTCGTTAACTGACACGCACCACAAGTGCAAGGTAACAAATTGTGCGCATGCGTGGTCTACGCAATATATACTATGTGTGCATATATTCGGTCATTGGAATTTGTCAACTGGTCCATGGATGTATGGACACATTACAAAGTAAATAAAAAATTTCATAGATTCTTAATATAGACATTTACATATTTTATGCACTATATACCTAAGATTTACATAGATTGCTACCGTTATATAACGGCGTGGTTCACTTTCTACTTTTCCCAACAGTTTTTAATAATCCAACCAATTTTCCAGTCTCAGTCTAGTATTATAGAATTCTAAATTACATATCAATTTGCATACGTACGTTTATCCATGATGTTATTAAATCTTACATAATATTTTTGCGACGCGGCATTAGCACTCATTTAACGGTACAAGTGTTGCTGCCAATTAAGTGTCGTTTGAGAGTAAAAAGTGTGTATTTTTTAGTGTAAATTCGATCTTAAAAAAATATTCATATTTAAAAAAATTTAATTTTTTTAATTTTTTTGAGGAAAAAATTTCTGGGTTTTTAATTTTTTTTTAAATTACTTTCAATTTTGAATTTTTTTTAAAATTTCAAATTCATTACTTTTGTAAATTTGTCGTTTAAGAAAAAAATATTTTTTTAACTAGTTTTTTAGGAAAATAAAAAAAATTAAAATTTAGAAAATGTAAAATAAATATTTTTTCTGACATTTTTCTAAAAAAAAAACAAAAAAATTTTTTTTTTTGAACAAATAGTTTTTACTCTTAAAAAAGTTTTTACTTTTAACATGGATATTTTTTCATAATTTTTTTTTACAAATTTATAATTTTTGTAAATGTCTCGTTAAATTGCCATGAAGGTGCATCAAATCGCATATAAAAAACCATTAAAAAGCTTAAATACATTTACAAGATTTTTTAATTTTAAGTTCATTTATAAAGACATAAATAAACAATAAGTATGTACGAAAATTTTAGTTAATAATTTTTTTCAAAAAATTAAAACTTTAAGAACTTTTATTTATTTATAAATTTTTTTTTAAATGCTTACGCTTCGTTTGCGTTAAATTTAAAATGAGCAAAAATAACAAAAAAATTTATTATTTATATTTTATTATTTCTTTATCTTTTTTTTTCTTTTTGATTTTTGGTATTATTTATTGAAATTTTTTTAATATTTACATTCACCAATTTTTAATATAATTTTTTGACAATTTAAAAAAAGTAAGCAACTCCGCAATAAATTAACAATGCGCCAATTAAACTAGCTTGGTTTAACTTTAATTATCATTTTTATAGCTTTCCTGCTCTTTAACTCAACAACGCTGTAAAAGCGCGCCGTTACCATTCATCTATTGGCAGTGGTCCAGATTTGCACACTATCTTTATACGTGTTTTATTATCTTGTCATTATAATTTTCCAACCAACCAACTTGCTTTGACACATTCTCCATTCACTTGTTGACGCAAAATACATTTGTACATATTATGCATCTATGTTTTCGTACTACTTGCGCAACTGTCAAAAATTGCACATTGTTGCTCTTAATAACCCTTCATAAAAAATGGAGCGCTCCACAATATATGGGCCTTATTTGTGGGTATCACTTAGTGCAGATTTATGTCCATTCATGTCGAAATGTTCAAAAGTAAAGTAATCTAAAGCTTACACCACGTTCACACCATACGATTTTGTAAAATATATAAATTTTTATAAAAAAAGAAAAAAAACCGAAGTTTTTACAAAAGTAGTGCAACAAAATAAATCAGCAAAACTTTTCAAAAACAATATTGATTTTTTTAATTTCAGGAAATTTTTTCAAATTCGATTGAGTGGTATAATGTCAAAATGCTAATACTCTCAAATAACTGATGCTATCATGACGACTTATAAAGCATGTAGGTGCTAAAGCCATGGGGAGACATACATAGTTCAAATGCAAGAATTATACAATGACAACCGTTTCAGTGACGTCACTTTAGCAAAAGCATACAAATTGCTTACACTATTTATTGGTAGTATGGCCTGTATATACTTTATTAATATATTTACACCCTGAACAATATATATTAAGTTTGACAAAAAGTTTGTAACACCCAGAAGGAAACGTGGGAGACCCTGGGAAGTACCATATACTTACACATAGGTATAAATATTCGGTGTGACGAGTTTAGTCGACTTAGCCATGTCCGTTTGTACGCCCATCTGTCTTGCAGTCAGTTTTTGAGGTATGGTACCGAAATCTTCTCTCCAATATGTCTCACATTTATCAGAACAGCTGATGTCGAACCGATATAACATATAGTTGCCATACAAATTGACCGTTCAAAATCAAGTCTTCGTAAAGCATATAGTTGTCATACAAATTAACCGTTCAAAAAGAAACTCTTTTATGGAAAACTTTTTCATTTGATAAGTTATCTGCATGAAATTTGGCATAGATTATTGTACAAGGCAGCGCTAAAAACTGTAAAGAGTGCTATAGCTTCGGTGCAGTCGAAATTAATGTATTGTTTTGTTTATTTTGCAAGCTGTTTGTTTTTGACTTCATTTACATTGAAGCAAACTTCCGCATGTGCTGTTATGTTGTCGATAAGTTTGCATCTGTCAAGCCGCCAATTTAAATTGACACATTTGTTTTTTCGATTTTTGCAATTTATTTTCATGCGCGAAAACATCAATTTTTACTTCATTTTATTTTTTCTATTTATGCAAAGACAAAATTGCTATTGCTCTAAATTGTTGCGCATAGCTGCATATGTGCTGCCACTGCTTGTGCTAGAGATTTATGCGTGCATAGCAATTTATAGGAAAGTAAGCATCTGACAGAAAGAAGTGAGGCATTTAACAGCGTTGTTATGAGATCACTTAGAAAGATAGCAAAGCTTACAAGCATGCCGCCAGAGCCTTTGCTGAACTGTTTTAGCTGAAATAATAGGCTTTGAAAGCTGGCTAACTTGCATGTAGCTGGTGGAAGAGAAGTAGAAAGGACGCGCACAGTAAAGTTTAGGTGCGCTAAAGGGAATTAAAAAAAATGTTTAACAAACTACAAAAATGCTGGTTCCTCTACACATATTTGAAGGCGAATCAGCGCGTTTTCCACTATTTTCGGTTGAGAAAAAACTTTGATAGCTTTTATTTTATGACTTTACACCGAATTTTGTAAAAAAAATACACTACATAAAAAATTTTACGAAATTTCCATAAAAACACACACCATACTTCTTTTTTTGTAGTCAGCAGCTCCGAGTGGCAAGACGTACACAATAAACCAATCAGCTGGAAAATGCATGTTCATATGTACATTTATGGGTCTGCCACTTGTTTTACGTTTTTGACGGCGGAAAAAATGTTTCCCACTCAAAGGCATAAGTGAGTGCAAATTTTTAAGTTTTAACGTCACATTTCACCATTTCACAACGGACAACCAACAAACCGGCAGTCAGCTGTCAGTGGCGAGTAGTCAACAACCATCCTTTTGTTCAAGTTTCATAACTCAGTTATAGTAATTAAAATGTTTGCACGTTATGCCCACAATTATTCAAGCGATTTGGCTACGTAATAGGTAAATTGGGCAGCGGTTAAATTAATGTTTTAGTTTTTGTTATATTTTATTTTAATGACCAATTAAAAAATAAGTTCGCGCCTATACTAAATATGAGAAACTATATACATACAAACAATCAGGATAAAATTGAGTTTATATTGTACTTGTCTATGTGAAAACTTGTCATTATGTTTATTCATACTTTCTAAAAATTGGTACGGCTCTATATATGTCAAAATTTGTAAGCTGATTAAGTTTTTGAATTTCAAATTTTTAATTTTTTTATTTATATTTTTGTTTGTATTTTTTTTTTAAATAAAAAAATATGTTTGTTACTTTTGAACATATCACAATTATTTCAAGCTTTTGATTTATATTCCTTATTTTTTATTATTATTATTTTTTTTGATTGTTTACAAAAAAACATTTTTGTTACGATTGAGCAAATCACAAACATTTTTTTTGCTTGCCATAACAATTTCGCACAAAGAAATTCCAATAGGCCATCGCGTGAGTTCATATACCATATAAGTATATATTTTACGCTATCACACTCGATTTACTTTAGCCAGTGGGATAATACAATAATTTAAAATAATAGCGCAAAAATTTACGAATTAGCAAAAAACGCAATATGTAAAGACATTTTCCTATATACAAAAACAATATACACAGCAGCTATTGCGCCATGCACTAACCATTGTAATGTGTGTAATCAACATAAAAATGCCGAATATGCACAGCTGTAGAATAGACACTGTATTCTCTCATTTCAATTGATACGTAAAATTGAACACAGCGACTTAAATTAGGTTTAATACTATAAAACTTTTTAGCTGTTAAATTAAATTTAAATTAGTTTTACAGAGATTGCCAAATCTATCGAGTTCCCGATAAATAGAATGCGCTTAGACAGTTTTATTTATTGCGAAACATAAATATAACATAAGTAGTTACATTACGTGCATACGTAACTAGCAAATAAGAGATCTACATTTGCTATCAAAATATACCAGCTTCAACTTTTAAAATACAATTTTGCAATAAAATCAATCGGGAAATCAAATATGGCACATATTTGCGCAGACACTGGGGTTATACGTACGATTAAACGAATCACCTGCATATATAAATATATGATGCGTATGTACATATTAGTATGTATTTGTATTGATGAGCTGATTGTTTGCGCAGGCACGTACAGCTACCATTGCTGGGTAGGAAGTATTGATACCGTATGGATTTAATTGTATGTAGGCTCATGTATCGCATGTTTTTTGCATTTTTGTTTAAATTTGATATGAAATTCAAATTCAGGTCAGTGGCATAATGAAAATGAAAAGCGCGATTTTTCATGCATAAACTTCCGCTATAAATCATAAAAATACCAATACGAGTGATTTTTTAGTTGTAGAAAACGATATGAAAAATTAGCCTATAACAAAAAAAAACTTGTAGAAATAATATATATTTTTTATTAATATTATTTTTATTTTATTTTTTTTTTAATGCATTGTAATAAAAATTATATGTAAATTTATTAATGAATTACAATATTTCTTTTAATTGTTATTATTATTATATTATTTTTATTATAAAAAAAATGCATACGTTTCAATTCAATTAATCATACGTATTTAAACGTAACGCCGGCAAATATGTAAAAGAAGATCCGCAACAGCTTTCGTATGCTGTTTCCTGTTTAAAAATATATTGATAATTGTTTTAGTTTCGCTTTTTATGAATTCTGGTAACATTGCTAAATTTGTTTGCAAATAATTAAATATGCACTAGCGAATAATGTACAAACTTTCGTGTTGTTTATGGGCGATCAAATTAAAAAATTCGATAATTTTAAATAAAATGTTTGCTAATGCGTAAGTGTATAATTGTTGTCATTTAAGTATTGAATTAAATAGCTTCTTGTAAGAAAACTTATCGATAGCAACGATAAATTAATGGCATTATTTACAATAGCTGTTTTTGTTTATATTGTTATGGGCTTCCTTTGTGGAATAAGAAATTTAGTTTATTTTGCAAATATGCTGTTCAAATACAATACAAATGAAAACAAAAGGATACGCTTAAATATTTTTCGTTTCAGTATATGACCTCATCGTTGATTTCAGGCATAAACAATAGCGAGATACGTAACACAGTCTAAGCTAGACTAATTTTGTTTTAAGCAAAATATTTTAAATAGTTATAAATATATAAAAAATAAAGAGAAAGCATTTTTTCAAGTATATTACCATTAGCAAAACTCAACCCTTTACAGTGGACAATAGCAAAAGGATGATATGTTTTTGTGTTGGGTGGTTCAAAAAGTGCTGGTAGTGTTCGTGTACAATGCTATAACCCATTCAAAAATTTCTAGACAAAGGTATGTTTGAATGAACATTCTCTGGTATTAAGTGTTTATCTCAGTATACTTTCAGTTTTATCCATTTAATGTTGAACGAAGCAATATATAATATGTGGCTTATAACTGAATGGACGTATTCTTACCATTGGCGAAAAAAATTCAAACGGCAAGATGAATGAATGACGTGTGATATTATAAGAAATAATTATAAGTATCACATTTTTTTGTTTCAATTCAGCTTTCCTGCTTGTTTGCAATTGGTGATTTAATTAACTATGATGAAATATGATTTTGAGCATGACATACTCAAGTGCAAATAATTATACCGCCAATACTTCATTGAATAAGTAGACCTTTGAATAAAATGTTTTCAAATTCATTTTTAAAATGGTTTAAAAAAAAAATGTTCTAAATTTTTAATATGTAATTTATTGAAGTTTTTTATAACCAAATGTATTCTATTTTTCAATGAAATAATTGTGAATTCATATAAATAAAAATATTCTAAAAATAGTTCAATTTAACTAATGAAGCTTTACTTTACTTACTAAATACACACATATTTTAAAACAGAAAAATTTGAAAATAGCTCAACTACATTGTTTGAAATGTAAAAAATATAATACAAAAACAAAAAACTTAAATAAAAAATATTTATTATTATTAACAAAACGTGTAACTCACCTGATTGTAACTTAAACGGCATTAAGCTATCAATATTTGTAATCATTGCTTAATTTATTATCATTATCAACACTTCTTTTCTTTTCTTACACTTATTGCATTAAATATTTAGCGCACTTTTTAGTAGGGGTGTATATATGCACATTTATCTTATTACATCTTGGTACATACACATGATACTTTATATTTGCGTTTATTTTATTTTTTCAATATGCACAATTATTTCCTAATGCCAACTAATTTTACATTGCTATAAAAGATTGAACTTACGTATTAATTGTTTGCTAAATAAATATATATATATTTTTTTTCGTTTGATTCACTTATATAAAGAGTTTTCTTCACTTTTATGCTTTTCATATTATTACATTTTATACCAATTAATAATTTTTCTTATTTGATTACACTTAACCTTACTATTACCAGAGAATATTAATAAATAATAAATAAATAAATTTCTGTTTCAGGTGTCTCAGCTTAAGGCTCTTTGGAATAAAGTGCCCAATGCTCGCAAAAGCTTTTTATTTTTTAATTAGCAATAAAAATATATAAAATGTACTTAATAAGTTAAATTTATATAGCAGTTAATTGTGTAACTTTACTCCATCACAAGTCATTATAAAAATAACTGGGTCAGCGTTCTTGTGTATTGTTGCAAATTGCCAACATTTACTGTTTAATATTTGCTTATTAAATTCTCTTTATGTATTTCAAAGCACTGTTATGCCGCGATAAACTGTACAAAAAATTAATAAAATAAAACTTAAAAATTAATAAACTAATAAGAATTTTCAACAAATGGATACGCTTCAACTGCCGCCTTGACAAATTTACTTCCTTCAAAATGGCGGTTTAAATAGGGATATGCAATATTTTGTGCCGATAAGTGGCTATCGATAAAATTTTAGAAAATAACCATAAATTTGATGCAACTATGTATTTTAATTTAAATTTAAACGATTTTTTAATGAAAATTAATGTTTTTTTTTGTTTTTGTTTTTTGATTGTGTTAACATGCATTTATGTGATAATCTTGACTACATGTGTATCAGAAATTTAAACGCAAGAGAGCATGTTTATGTATGGTATGGGTATTTGTGTAAAACAAAATTATTAAATTTTATAAACTACTTAATTCGGCTTAGTTATTATTATTAATCAAGCATATGTATATACAAAGTCTTTGCAGAAGGCGTATTTTAGATATGATTTTGCGTGTTATTTTACATTTTTTATTTACAATGTTGTGTGCAATTTCTACAATGCGCAAAATGTCGCTATGAAACAATTTTTTTTAATTATATATAGTATGTATGTATACACACACAATTTCTTTCTTTGTCATACATCGAAACTAATCAAATTCTGCTTGTGTAACATCTCTGCTTTTATTTAATTTATAAAGTATATTTTAGTTATACTTATTTTTTATGTAGTATCTCTGTTTTCCAACCAAATAATTTTAAGTGTTCGCAGTTATATTTTATTTGTTTTTATTAATATTGTTTTTTTTTTCATTTTTGATTTACATTTTTTTACTTAATTTTGTTTTTATTTCATGCAAATAAATAATTGCTTAAGTCAGTGGCGGATCCAATATTTCTTTCTGGTGGAACTTTTCCTTCCAACTTTTTTTTAATATTGATGTTACTTCATAAATTCTTCTGAATTTGAATTAAAATCACCGATTATGGGGAGAGTTTTGACACCCTCACGTATGCGTCGATATTATTACAAAATAAACGCCTAAAAGTATGCAACATGTAACTGTTTTTTATATTAGAAATAAAAATTAATTATAAAAAACTTATTTATAAAATGAAAGAATATTAATGAAGTAATAAAATATGTCTCACGTTTGTTATTTTTTTATTTATTTACAAAGCTTTCTTTTTAAGTAGCACTAGACATTTTTTTGCGTATGCAAATGAAAATAGAACTTAAAATGCAAAATAATAATTTTTAATAGAAAAATAAATAAAAACCATAACAGAAACTCAGTCAACTTGAGTGACTTATAAATGAAAAGTAAATTATATGTAATAATAAAATCAAATTTTAAAGATCAGCTGCAAAAGACCTTAATATAAATTAATTTAATTAAATAAAGTCACTTAACAAATAAACACTTTCCGTGAATAACTCAATTCGTTTTATATGTTGAATGTGTCAACTGATAATCATACAACAGAAACTAGCATTATATTGACTTAAAAATAGCTTCCCTTTTACTTCAACCGCTTAAAAGACTTTAAGACTGAATATAAAAGCTCCACTGCGCATGTCATTCCAAAAGGAAAAAAAAAATTTTTTTTTAGAAATAACAACACGCATAAATTCGGTAAATTTGACATTCTGCTCAAATATTTATAGTGCTTACAGCAATTGTTTATAAGTTCGGTTAAAAAAAAAAATTATAACAGAAACCAACTATTTGCAGGTTATATTTCATATAATTTTTCTGATTTTCATAATATTTACGTTTGTTTGTTTTTTTTGTTGTTTTGCCTTTTTTTAATTAAACATGAACGTTTGTATGTATGTAAAAGTGAAAGAGAATGTCTCAACCGAATTTGCTTCGCATACAAATTATTATGTTATAATTCAATATATATGCATTTATATTGTGTGCATGCAATGTGGTAATGAAATTCAACTAAACACAATCTCATCTAAACCATAATTTTAAACGCAACGCATCGACGCCATTTAAGTAGTAGCGAAACAAGCGTTTATCACGAACAAACCCCAAGTTCTCATACAAGCGCAAAGCGGGCACGTTACGCATTTCGGTTTCGAGCACAACTTCATCAGCATTGTCGGCAAGCATAGCCTGAAAATTGCAATGCAGAAATTAGCATAAAAATATGTCAATTAATTATATTAAAAGTAAAAGTAATAATGAAAAAAAAAACGCTTGTTCCAATTTACCTCAATTGCTTTTTGCACCAATGTTGTGCCAATCTTAAGTTTCCTATATTCCTTACGCACTGCCAACATTGCTATGTAGCCACGCCTCACGTTTCTGTGCATATCAAGCTTACATACTATGGCACCAATATATTCATTGCCATGCGCTGCCAGAAAACACAATTTCGGCCAATTGTATATGAAATAACGATACGTATAAATAGAGTAAGGCTCCGATAATTCGGCTTGTATTAGACGCATTATATCCTGCAGCAAAAGAAAACAATTAAATACATTTCTGTTTTACACAAAATATCAATAAATTGTTAATATATATATACAACAAACCGCTCACTCACATGCATTTGCAACTCAGATTCATATTCCTTATACTCAATATGCACATTACTCAAATCCAATTCGGTTGTCGCAGCCAGTGCGGGCATTGTTGATACGCTTAGCGGCGCTTCCTTAGGGTTACTTTGATCAGTTTGCTGCGCATCGTCTGTGTGCTGCTTGGCAGTGTTGTTCGTATTGTGTATTGCAGTAGGAGGGTTAGCATATATAGTATTTTGTTGTACCACTATTGGTGTGGACAATTGTTTGTGTTGTAAGCTGGTGTCAGACATTGATACCGCTGCAGTTGCCGCAACTCCTCTCGCCGTTGCTGCATTTAATATATTCGGTTCAGTATTGTTGGTTGTGGGTTTAGTTATTTCAACACTGACTGCGCATTTTTGTTGCGTTTCTTTACTATGCAACGTTTCGTCTTGTTCATTAACGAAATCATGGAAACCATTTTTCAATTGCACCATTTCTGCTTCCGTTGGTTTGAGCGTTGCTTCCGTCGGACTTGTGTACATTAATGCAGATGACTCGCCATTGCTATTATGACTCGTCTGTGGTGACTTATTATTTTCAGTTTCTAAATTAGTTTCTTTGTTCTTTTGCTTGTTGTTTTTACTTTTTGATTTTTTCAAAGCACCAGACGTTGATATTTCTTGCAAGGCTGACCGTTGATGTTGTGTTTGTACATTGGCCGTCCTCGTGCTGTTCTTTGCAATATTAGTTGCGGGTGTATGATGCCCATTCTGTGCAGTATGACTGCTGCACTTCCCAACAGTACCGTTTATTTGTAGACCATCTCCTGTTATGTGTAAATGTTGTTCTAATATTTTTGAAATCCCATTCGCTGTGACTTCTGCTTCACCACTAACATTCGTAACTTTTTTAACGTCCTTCGCAACATCCGGCAAGTTGTCATTTGAGGGACCGTTGGCAGGCACCTTCCCATTTGCCCTTTTACTCTTCGGCCTTTTCTTTGATTTCTGTGTTGTTGCTAACTTCTGCTGTTCAACAATGGCACTTGCGGAATTATCCATTGCTTTTTGTTTGTGAACAAGCACGCAAATTTTGTATGAAACAAAAATTAAGCGCTTAAAATGACAATATTCTTTGTCCTGGCCTTATTTGGTATTTGTTGTAACTCTATCGCTTAGCACTTCTTCGTGTCGTTAACCGCACAGCACTTGTTTGACACTTCCTGCCTTGATCACTTGTACTTTGTCTTGCTTAAATATGCTATAAATTCATACAGTTAAAACATTTTTCTATATTTCGTTTGCTTTTAAGTTTAGTTTTACCTCGAAATATTAAATTTGTCGTCTATAAGTTAAAATTATTTTTGAAAACTAACTTCATGTATGCCACTGGTTAAAATCTTCTTTCAGTTCGGCCCAGTACTTACTTCGCGAAGTCACCCGTCTTTGACAATATCTTCTTCACCGTATAATACTAATGTCTGTCCCCTGCCTTGCCCTGCTTTCTGTCAATCACATCCAGCACCTTCCTTGATCTAACCGACGCTCTCAAATTTTACTCTCGCATTCCAATTAGGTTACAAATATATTCTTAATAAGCCCCTAAAACTATTATGTAAAATTTCTTGATAAAAATTACTATCAATTTGGGTTTTTCGTAAGTTCTTTAAAATTTTCACTTTCCTCGCGAGTTGAACGTGAAAGACAACTTCTACGTTGCCAGATAACAAATAACTTAATCCATCAAAATTCTGATACGAAATATATAATTTATAAATAACAATTGGTTAGAAAACTTTGTAAAACATACAATAAAATAAATCATTCAAATTTACATTATATGTTTTAGCTAGTAAATTGCAGCAATAATAAACTATGCAATATATTAAGTGTATGATACGAGCACCTTTTTGGTAAAGTATTTAACATAAGTATGGCAAGGTGCTCTTTCAATATCAGCAGTTGTAGCTTGACAGCTGCGAATGATGAAACAGAGTTGTTAATTGCTGCTAAGTTAAAGCTTGTTTGATACAAAATCAATAACCTGTTACATGTCTGCAAAATTTTCATATAACATACATATTAAATAATTACGTGAAAATGCATTATTTAAAAATCTATTTTAAAGTCAATGACAGTTCTTAATTTAGAATTAACAACTCTTTTTTTAAAAAAGACCACCCTGTGCCAAACTAGCGCCAGCTTGGTGACAAGAATAACAACAATGGTGACAGCATTTGTTATCATTTGAGAAGTTCATAAAATTGCTGTCAAGTTCGATAAAAAAAGGCGCTAAATATTTTTATTTTCATTTTCAATTATTGTAAATATACTTAAGAAAAAATGCCAAAATCTAAGAAGTCTCGAAAGAATAGACGTAGCCAAGATGAGGAGCAATCCGATAGCAGTGATAATGAATCATGTAACTCTAAATCAGAAACCCGACATCATAAGCAAAAGAGTTCAAAACATTCAAACAAGAAAAATCGATCATCTAAGAATTTGGACACAGAAGATTCAAATAGCACTACTTCCAGCTCTACACCGGCAAGGGATTTATCAGACTCTGCAACGCGTAAAACAGGCAAGCATTCTAAAAGACGTGAAAAAAATAATCCAAAACGTGTGCATAATGATGATGAACCAGAGGAACGTAGGCAACGTCGACGCACGCATAGTCGTGAGCGTGAAGAAATAAGTAGCGGCGGTGAACCACATGTTTCCAAATGGGACAGTCCTGAGAGGCGAAATCGCCAACGGAGCAGAAGTAGAAGCCGCCAGCGGCAAAGGCAAAGTAGAGAGCGTGAAAGAAGTGCACAACGTGATGCAGTACGGTCACACGGAGATCGAAACGACCGCGGAAATCGTTCACATAATGAGTATGCAGGAAGAGAGCGTTTGCCAGACAGACATGACTACAGGGATCGTTATGTAAATAGAAATAGAGAGGAACGTTGGAGAGATGATCGTGGACATCAAAACGAACGAAAAGGGTAAGTCAAGTACTGCTGAACATCGGTAGCATATTATATTTAATAATGTTTTAATTTAGGCGAAGTCGCAGTCCTCGTACTGATAAACAACAGAATAGATCACAAGGCCATGAACGTTTTAAACGGGAACCCAGAGAACACTCTAGACAACAAAACTCACCCGCTCGACGTGGCCGTACAAATCGCAGGCACTCACGCGACGATGACAGTAAAAACTATGAGTGGGGTGGTAGACGTGCTGATGATAAAAATGATGCGTCACAAATAAAAGAGGAACCCGTCGAAAAAGAGAAACCCAATTTCGGTCTAAGTGGAGCGTTATTAGAAGATACGAATAAAGTTAATGGCGTAGTTGTAAAATATGCTGAGCCGCCAGAAGCCCGAAAACCTAAACGTCGTTGGCGTCTATACCCATTCAAAGGTGAAACTGCGCTACCTACATTGCATATACATAGACAAAGCTGCTTCTTGGTTGGAAGAGATCGAAAAGTAGCCGATTTAGCTGTAGACCATCCGAGTTGTTCAAAACAACATGCCGCGCTACAATATCGGCTTGTACCATTCGAACGCGAAGATGGCACGCAGGGTAAACGTGTCCGGCTATATCTGATTGATTTGGAATCTGCGAATGGCACTTTTTTAAATAACAAGAAAATTGAGCCGCGGAAATATTATGAATTAATTGAAAAGGATGTTATAAAATTTGGCTTTAGTACACGAGAATATGTATTATTGCATGAGAACAGCAAAGAAGATCAAGAGGATGATGACGTATTTGTTAAACCAGAACCGGAAGATGTACCAGACGGACCAAACCCTTGATATTAATCTATATGCCAATAAGGGCCTGTGCCGTCACAAAGAACACAATTATCATTATCATTGGATTCGTAATAAATACATGTTTTAAGGCGTTGAAAATATCTGAGAACAAATCACGTAACGTAAATCTTTGATTTGTTATACAGATGCGCTAATTCTGCTTAAAATAAATTTTAAACAATTTATTTGATTTCATCATTTAAGAATAATACAGTTTTGGATTTAAAGATTGATAAGCACACTTTCCAGGGGTATATTAATAACAAATTGTAGATATTTTTTTTATAAATATATGCTCGGTATCATTTTCATAATTTTGATTTATGTGATTTTCTCGTAAACACGATAAAGTCCATCGTCATACACAGTTTTAAGAACAGTTAAGTTTTATGATAATTTGTTTAAATACCGAAAAGTATGGCAGCCCGCTGCTGTCTTTCAACGATTTCCAACTGTCAACCAATTGGAATTACTTGCGGTATGTTACAGCGTCTGCTATTGTGTTTTATTTTTTAAAGTGTGATTAAAGATAGCAATAATTAAATACTATATAACGCGAAATAAGTTAAGTTAATGTATATATACAGACAAAACACTTGCTGTTATTGCTAAATAAAGCATTATTAAAAAGTGTACACAAGTGTTTACTGTAGCTGAGAGGATTACTTCAATTATACATTGGTTGAAAGTTACTATCAGTTCTATATTTTTAGAAAGCTTTTGTCTGCCGCGTAAGAATATTAAGAAAATGCCGAAAAAACAATCAAGAAATGGTTTTATGATTTTTACCATGGATTGGAAGTCTAAGTATGGTAAACACTTAACATTGTCCGAAGCTACAACAGAATCTGGCCGAATATGGGGGGTAAGTTAAATTTAATAATTTGAGCGAAATTATGGCTCTTTGGTAAACTTCACCTTTAAACGCTTCTGAGCTTTTATAACCATAAAATTTATATATACTGCATACAGTCAATGTCGGTGCAGGAGCGTGCTCCATATAATGAGCGCGCAAAGCAGGAAAAAATGGGCTTAAAATCTAGCGCAGGACCAAAACTTACATGTACGGGTAAGGCCATTTCAGAAGTAGAAAGGGAGCGACAGGATGCCGAGGAGCGTGAACGGCGCATTAAACGGACTATCGAGATGATTGTGCGAAACAGCGTTAAGAATTACCGTAAGCTAACTGTATTTGCGAAAATATTTTTGTTGTAATACAATTTGATTGATTTTTTTTTTATAGAATTGAAAACACAACCGTACTACTTTGTGATGGTTAATTATTTCACACGGTCACTCGGAAGCGGTTGTTATGTGCCAGCCGAAATTTCTGTTGCTAAATATTCATTACAAGAAGGTGTTTGCCGCACATATCATAGTTTTATAAATCCTGGTACGCACATCTAACTACAACTTTCGAATTCTAACAAAAAAAAAATACTAATTTTTATTCGAATATTTAGGACCTGAAATGTACGGTTTACAATATGAGGCACAGCATCATTCGGAAAATACACATAAGCTACCGTTACCGCCAAATGCTAAAGGCGAAACCGATTTAGGTTTAGTTTATAATAATATATTAGATTTTATACGTGATCCAGAAACTGGCGAGTATCCGCCAATTTATACTCACCGTGATTTCATACCAGTTGTTAAATCTGTTTTTGAATTTCTCAAATCTGATGTATCCGCTAGAGATATCGTATTTGACACATATTCTATACAATATCTCTTGTATATACTCAAAGAATCTGCTATGAAAATAAATGGATCGGATAAACAAATTTCCAGCTACATTACTGATGCTGATTTTGAAAGGGACTTTTTTGAATATCAAACTGGCATAGCTTGCGCTGTAAGTTTAAACTATTAATTAAAAAAATCCTATAAACATTTTGTATTGATGCCACGTGCAAATGATTATACAAATATAATTTCTACCAACAGTATCATGAAGAAATTGATAAAAGTAAATATTGTACACAATCATGTGTAGTCCGCTGGGGATACATGTTTTCTGATTCACTTTGTGGCGAAGTTGCTGTTGATTTGATACCTGGTCGTCATGTGCCCGCCACAACTAATTTAGACGCCATTATAAATCCAGCTCCAAGCACACATGCTGACACTGAATCGCAAATTTCAGTAAATAGTGAAAGCACTTTCGCTACCAAAGCCGTATCCGAGAGAACAATTTACTATGATTATCAAAAGGCATATACACCAGCGCGTGTAAATAACACCGATCGTTCTTCGTGGCCGTACGATGGTGATGATTTTCCAACGCTTGGAGCTGGTTCGTCGCGTAAGAAGCCCGGATTCATGGTTTCCTCTGCACCAGCTAAAAATAGCCGCATACACACTGCACAACAGCAGTTAATGGATAGTAGCTCACCAGATTCTACCATTGATATAAATCCGTGGACATTGCGTTCGCGTAATGTACCACGAAAACCGGATACTTCATACTTCGATATAAACTATACACGCGATGAGACCACTGACTCTGAGTCGTCCGCACCAGTCGGTTATGGGCGTGGCAGAATGCGCAATAACGTATCTTCGACTAGCGATCTAACTGCAGTATCAGGACGTGGCAAGCTATTCCAACGTTTGAATAAATAGTGTTAAAATATATTGACACGAAAATAAAACACATAAAAAATAAAAACAAAATATACATATAATATATAAAAATCAAAATGGAACGTATATACAAGAAATGCATACATATATCAAACAACTGTAGAAATATAGGAGTTGCGTGAAAAGTGCATATTAATGACTTATCAATACTTATATAATACTTATCAATTTTTTTTTTATGTATTTGGGAAATACTTTAATCTATGTTTTTCAAACGATTTAAATTTTTTTATGTTAAAGCGTTTTTTTTTTAATTACTTGACTAAAAAATAATTTAAGCGAATACGTGATAATCATTTTTTAATAAAAAGCACCCAAGCGTCCATATGCAATTTAATGTGTACAATCATTACTATTATTTTGGTGGGTTCGCATAGTGTATACGTATGTATTTACCTACCTGGACTGATTACCAAACCAGGTCTGTTTCGATCGTATGGAGTTATTTAGTACCAGTGGCTGCAATTATTAAACAAACAACAACATTTATATATAATTATATTAATTTCATTCTAACGTTTTTTTTTTAATTTTCTGCAGAAGTTTTGAAATTTTGTCATGTTTTTCTTTTTATTTAATTGATTGAAAGTAAAAATACATGTTGGGTTAATTAAAATAATTGTTTAGAATTGTTGAAATAAATGAATGTGAATACCCAGTAGTTTAAAAACTATTATTCAATTCAACAAAAATGTTATAATTACAGCATTATTTTTTCTAAATTAAATTCTATTTATACGCCTTTGCACCTTTAAATAATTTAAAATTCACTTAAATTGTTTTACAAAAATTAAACAAAAATCACGGAATGCAACAGTGAACGCATGCGAGGTAATTACTTCAAATATTTTTGTTACGCCTTTCTAATGAAATATATTATTTATTACCATAATCTTTGTATCAAAGTAAGCTTGTAGCTTGTATTTAGCTAGAACACCAACTTGATTGAACATAACCTAACCTGCAAATGTAAACGTTTAATAAAGCAAGGAAATAAAACAAAAATATTTTGTAAAAAACTACATTTTTTGATTAATATGAAGAATTTTTATAAAGAATTTCAAATTTTAATCTGAAAGTGTTAATAAAAAATGAATACAGAATAAAAATAAAAACAAAAAAATAAAAGAACTACAAAACAAAACAAAAAATTAAAAATAAATTAAAATTGTTATTAAAAGTTAATAAAAATTTATTTTACTATAGTAAACTAATCTTAACATTATTAAATATGTACATATGTATTTAAGCACGTAAGTGTGCAGAAAATGGCATAAAAAATTCAATATACTTTAATTCCAAAATGTAATGTTTAAATAAAAACACAAAAAATTTTATACATTTAAAAAGTTCCTAATGTATTTAATTTTATGTAAATTTGTATTTAACAAAACACATAAATTTTATATTTTTAAGCAGGAGACGTGATAAAAGGTAAGATAACCGTTACAACAACAACATAAAAAGCATAAGAAAATTTTAGCAAAAATTTCGTAGTTCTATATAAAAAATAATTTGAAAAATAAATAAATAAAATAATTCTAATATAAATTTAAAAAATTCAAAAGCAGAAAACGTGTTGAAAGAATTCTAACAAAAAATTATATACAAAAAAAAATTTTAATATTTATTCAAGCAGAAAAATTTAAAAATTTGCAAAATATTTGATGTTTAAGTAATATAAACTCAAAAATTGAAAAAAATAATAATGTTTAAATAAAAAGAATTCTAATATTAATTTAAAAAAATTCAAAAGCAGAAAACGTGTTGAAAGAATTCTAACAAAAAATTAAATACAAACAAAAAAAATTTATTTAAGCAGAAAAAAATTGAAAAAACTGACTAACATATTTTAATTTGCAAAATTTTTGATGTTTAAATAAAACAAACTTAAAAATTGAATAAATTAATAGTATTTAAATAATATGAATTCTAATATTAATTTAAAAAAATTCCTATTTAAATCAAAAAAAAAAACTATTTTTATATTAACTTTCAGCACGCATATGATGAATCATGCCGTTTACTGAAAAACAATTAAATTATTATAAATATATTAATTCGTTGCGCATATAAATATACATAAATGTTAATTATATACATATATGCTTTTTGTATAACGAAAAAAAATTTGAAAATTTTGTAAATCATTAATTTACTTATATAGTGCCAAATGAGCTATATATGTTTGTAGGTTTGTAAGCATACATATGTATATAAAATTTCTTACAAATGTTAATGAAATTAAATATTTAATTAGAAAAATTTAATACTTTTCACTTGTCAACCATGCCATAGACATGTACAGTTGTGTGCGTAAAAATTTCGTTTGCTTAATTAAATTTACTAATTTTTGTATGTATGTATATGTTTAAGACTATGAAAAAATAACGTTTGCAATAAAATTGCTATGCGCAGCCGTTACATTTTTAGTTTTAGTTAACAATTTCCAACCGATAGTTAAATTGCAAATAGCAATTAAGTGAGAAATGTACCATAAATTGATATTATATTGTACGTAAGTATGTGTCGTCAGCTAGTAAAATATGTATGAAAATGTGATAACGCACAAGTATCTTAAGCAATATATATTTTTTTATACATACATAATACCTAAATGTATTGGAAAGCTATGCAACTTTATTAGTGTTACAGTTAAAAAGTCTGCAAAATAGTCTCTTTATGCGTTGACCCACTAACACGCGCCGCCTTATGTGTTCGCGGTTGTTGGCGCAGGCACACCAAGCTTAGTACTACGTTTACACTTCTCGGTTGCCAGCGCGCTGCCGCGCGTCACATGCTTGACAACAGTTTCCGGCGCTACATGCGTTATTGTGCGCTTTAGTGTCGCGCTGTCAGATGCAGCACGCAAACTGGTGCCACTGCCAGCGCCGCTCATAGTATTGCGACCACTACTGGCGCTTATATTATTGCTACCGCCGCTGTTGGTTGCCACTGTGATTGGCGGCGTTTTGACTGTTTTGTAACGTGACAGCACTTCAGCTGATGTTTGCTTCAGTGTTAACGCCATTTGTCGATGTACGCGCTCCATCAGTTCGGGTAGATCATCTTTGGTTAGATTTGTTGTGCTAATTGGCGGCATAGCGGTTATGATTATATTGCCTGCATTCAATATTTTCATTTTGTCATTCAGAAAACTGCAATACGAGCTAAAGACTACCGGCAGTATGGGTATTTGTTCGTCGATTGCCATGTGAAAAGCACCTTTTTTGAAGGCGTGCAGTTCGCCGGTGTTGCGACGTGTACCCTCGGGAAATACCCACAATTTGATATTATCCAGTTTTACGCGACTATTAACAGCGTTCAGTGTATTGCGCGCTTTCTCGCCACGCACACGATCGATGAAGGTAAGACCGGCCAACCAGGCAGCCAAACCGAAGGGCCAAGCATAGAAGAGTTCACGTTTTGCCACCACTGTACACTTGTTCATTACATGCCAGATTGCGAACATGCCTTGAGAAAGCAGTATAAATTAGCGCGCAATTAGGAAATTCTATTCAAGCTATTTACCAAGCACATCCAATGAGCTCTGATGATTCGCCACAATTATGCATGCCTGATCCTTTTCAAGATGTTCCCGGCCGCGCAGCTCCCAGCGTAGACCGATTAAAGTCGAGACGCGATGACAAAATGTACTCGCCCAACTATAAAGAGAGTAAGCAGTTATATATTTCACAAATTATATTTGCAAATTTTTAGAAAAAAGTGATTAAAATACAAAAAAGTGCAGAATCAAGCTGTTATGGGACCCATGCCGCGGAACAGCCTGGCTGGGTGCCCACAAATAGCCTAGTCACGAACGGAGCTTACGAATACCTGGCGCCCTCTGTAATAAGATAGCCTCACTTGCGTAGCGGTGGCTATGCAAAAGCGTACTTACTTGCCTCTACACTCGTAAGTCCAAAATATGAACCAGAATAATAAAAACAACAATAAAGGTTTAAATGAGTCCGGATTTCTTGGAAAAAAGCCGGAGGGAACTAGTTGTTTCGAGAAGAGGGCAGCGTTTGCAATGAGCTAGAAAGTAGCCAGCACAAAGACTGTAGCTAAGCTTGGTCTAGGTGCAAAGGCAACAACACCAGCAGCAGCAGCTGGAACCAAACTCAGTAGCCAAAGTATGGTTACAAAAAAGGGTGGGGAAGGAGTATGCGGAGAAGCGTCGAGCTGCCTACCTACTCAGAAGGGTACAGCTGCAACCGCCAATCAATGAGAAGCTTCGAATACCCAATTTAAATTTGAATCGCAGCCAAGAGACAGAGGTCAGCTGAAGAGGCCGTCAGCTAAAAGGCCGAAGACAAAGGATGTGAAATAAAATAATCTAATTTATTTGCATATGTGGTCCTGAACCGCATTATGATTGGTGTGCTGAATGAGAGAGATTTCGAAGGAAAAATTCACAGACTCTGACAAACGAGCTGTTGGAAGTGCTATTATGCAATCCGGATCCGCCACAGTCATGCACGGTTGCCGGGTGGTACCAGTGCCAAACGCAAATGATTGCGTTCGACGACGACAGATCGGTCGAACTTTAAAATACAAGAAAGACACCCCATTCAGGCCACGGACAAGTGTTGTGCAGCTCATTAGAGCCTCTAATCCTAATCTGGCTGTAAAATCGCCGATTTCGGGTGGTTTTGAGTGTCAAATCCGCCACTGGTTTAGAGGTTTCAGTGAACTGTGTTCTTTGTTGGGTATTTACTTTTAATGCCAATGGGTACAACATTATTTTTTTATGCCGGACAAAAAAAAATTTTATAAGTATATGGTTAACAAAAAAATTTCATAAATACTACTCTTATATGCTATGGACCCAGCTATATTTTAAGGAAAGTAAGACAAATGTTTTTTGGTTAGGTTATGCTAGATTGGAAAAGGCTGCTATTCCGGGAATATGGTAGTTCTTCTAATTAGATTCAAGGTTTGGTGACCCTTTAGATACAACCGGAAATCAAAGAGCCAAAGAGGAGTAAAGTGTATTCGGCATTCAATTTTTTTTTTTGGTTTAATATTTTTCAATTATATTTAGAAAAAATTATTCTCTGACAGTAAATTGAAACTTTATAAATATTGTTATTGTGTGTTATGTCTATTACTGCATGGTATACAATTCAATCTTTCCAAATTAAATTGTTTATGTTTTTGATTTCAATAATTGCCAACTTTCAATTTAATTAGCGTTAATTAATCTTTAGTAAGCAATGGAGCATATTCTAAAATATATTATATTTGTATAACTTTGTAGCGGCCTTGTAGGAATGTCAACTAAGCAGCTGCTATTTAAATATTGGAATTGAGTGTAAACTTTTTTTGGGACTGCATATGCATTGCATTTTCTCAAACTTTTATTTGATTGATTTTAATTTTCTCCTTTTACATAATTTAAATTTCACAATTCTACCTACTATCTTGAAAGTCATTGATTTTGATATCGATAACTTTCTACTACAGGGTATGCACTAACACATTGGTGAATACAGTTGTCCTCTATCTACAAATGAAGTTTGTACATATTTGTTGTGCGATAATATAAAATGTTTTGACATGTTGTAAGGCTACAAAATTTGAATTTTGGACGACTTCTGAAACTTTTAATTTCAAACTATAAAATATTCAAAATATATTGACTACAAATAATACAAATTAATATTAATATGAAAGAAGAATTGATAAAAGACTCCAGTCGCACAATTTAAGCGAGAAACTTTATTTTTTAAGCTTTCCGTTATTTTTAACAAATTAATAAGAACATAGCAAAATACTTAGAAACGCGTATAAGCAAACATAAAAATAATACCACCCATTCCAGGCACTTCAATAAATTTATTGACATTGCCATAATTTAAGTTGATATTTGTGGAATATTAGAGGAAACGCATAATACCCACAATAATAGCAAATAATACAAATACATAAAAATGTATTCGAGCTTCAAAGCTCAGAGTTAAGAGTTCAGATAAACTGAATGCATTGGGTATACTTATATTTACATTTTTAAAGGAAAAATACACTTAATGAATATGAAAAGGGGCTGTCATATTCACTTCAACCTAGAAATAATTCTGATATCTGAAGTTTGACAATTTTTTTCAAAAAAAAGCAGCTCTAAAATTATCAATCAATCATTCAATAATATTGGCTGTCATATTCATCAGCTATAATAGTAAATGCATTACTTATTTTTCATGGTTTTTTGCAATAAACTCGGAAGATTTTATTTATAAAAAAAACTATGGACATCGCGTACCCAATAATAAACTGCTTGCAATTAGATTAGAACTTTATTGCAAACATACTTTACAATATCATAACAAATGTTTTACTATCTTAGAAAGCTTTTAAACAAACTAATAAATAATAAATCTTATCATTGACAAACATTAACTATAATCGTCATAAGAATTTTAATAAATAATAAAGCATGTATATATATAGCTTAGTATGAGTTAGTACAATCGATTTACGATAAGTTGCCTGAAGCGTGTGATTAGCGATGGCTAAGTAAATAAAAAATAAAAGCTAAACCACTCAAGTGTAACCTTGGCGATTGAATTACAGCCAATAATAATAAATGCAACAAAACACAACAACGACTAAGCACCCACCACACGTTAGTTATAAACATAACGGCTTTGACTTTGAGTATCGGTCATAAGCGTAGCATATAATGCCTTAAGCAATAAAGACTAGTTAATATAAATTTTCGTCTCTTTTTCTTGACATAAAAAATGTCGAAAAATATAAATATTATATCGAGTACGCAAGTAAATTTTTTGGAAGAGCAATTTTATTTAATAAATAAACCAAAATAATGTACATTTACAGAATTTAACTTATTTTAATAATCGGTGGTTCGTTTTGAAAAAATGTTGATACACTTGATTCCGTAGCCGATCTCCAGGAGAATCTCTGAAAAAAGTGTCAGGCGTTGAGAAACATTTTTCTGCTTAAAATTATCTTAAATCCAAAAATCAAAAAAAAAAGTTATTATTATTGTAAATTAGATAATGATGAGGGAAGTAAGGAAATTTCCTTCACCGACTTTGAAAAGAGCGCTTCGAGAAAAACACTTAATATTTGCCGTAATAAGAAGCTAATCTAGATATTCCACATATTTTATTTATGCAGCACTTTAAATATTTATTCCGCCTGTCATACATAAGTACAAAATTCCTAACGGTATAAAGTTTTACAAATGCCAGCCAATCATTTTATTATAATTATCGATTTTCTTTTACGACATGCTTATACTACTTTAGTGATGAACAACAAGTTAAAATAAATATTAGATAAAAAAAAGCAAAAAGAAAACATATTACAACCAAAAAACTAACAAAAATAAAAATTAAAAAATTTTGAAAGAAAAACTTCAAAACCAACCCATATCTTGAATTAAACCAAATATAGAAGGAAAAAAGTAGAAAAAATTATTAAAAACAAAAATTTTAAAATACCTAAAAAAATGAAAAAAGGAGACTCCAAAAAAAAATTATTATAACAAAATAAAAAAAAAAACTGTATAGAAATCAAAATAAATACACAATTTTAACTGTATTTTCTACAAATAAAAAAAATGTTGTTGTTCTTTATACAAAAATACTTACAAAATATATAAAAATAAAAAAAACAATAAATTAAATTAAAAAAAGTATAAAAATGCAAAAACAAAATTAAAACAACAACAAAATTTTTAGAAATTGCAAAAAAAATTATTATTATTAAAAAAAACAAAAAATTAAATAAAACAAATACTAATAAAATATTAAAAAAAATAATAATAATTTGAAAAAAAGTTCTGCGAATCAAAAAATTGTTGTTTTTTATAATTAATATATGTAATAATTCAAAAATTAGAAAAAACTATCAATTTTTTTAAAATAATAATAAAAATATTAAAACAAAAAGAAAGAAACAATTAAAAAAACAAAAATAACAAAAAACTTGAACTGCATTTTCTATACATAAAAAATTGTTGTTCTTTATACATACTTAGAAAATATGTAAAAATTAAAAAAACAACAAATTTAATAAAAAAAATATAAAGAAGCAAAAACCAAATTAGAACAACAATAAACCATCAACAAAATTTTTAAAATTCCAAAAAACATTTATTAAAATTAAAAAATACAAAAAAAAAACTAATAAATTATTTAAAAAAATTATATTAATTTGAAATTCTGCGAATCAACAAATTGTTGTTGTTTTTTACAACTAATATATGTAATGATATGTAAAAAAATAAAACAAAAAATATAATAATAATTTGAAAAAAGTCAAAAAAAATGCATGCATTTTCTGCAAATCAAAAAAATTTTGTTGTGTTTTTGAATTTATTAAATGTAATAATTCAAAAACTAGAAAAAACTATAATTTATTTTTAATACTAATAAAAATATTAAAACTAAAAAAACTAAAAAAAAACACACAGTTTTAACTGCATTTTCTGCGAAACAAAAATATGTTGTTGTTTTTTATACTTACAGCAAATTTCGCACATCAAACGGTCGTAACAAAAATGCCGGTATAAGGATCAGTGCATTGAATGATACAATGCCGTAGTAAATGAAAAATTTCAGATAATAGCGAAACATATGGCTGTTTTCGTAGAAGAACGGGAAGGGCAGCATCAAGAGCAGGAACAAAACAAACAACTCCACGTAAGAGGTCATGGTGGAAATGCGAGCTGGAATATGTGTATAACGGTTTACAGGTGAAGACTTAGCAATTGTTTACGTACGACAGTTACGTTTTGTGCGTTTTTCTTTTATTATTTACTTCAATTAGTTATTTTAATTATTTGTGTACTTTAGCGTTTAACGTTGTGTAAAATACATTTGTTTTGAAGGAAAATGCAAATAGTTACTCGTTTTTCAAATAAGTGTTGATTTTTTTATGAAATGTGAAGCAGCGGTTTGCACAGTTTTGTGCGCTAATCACCATTTGTGTTGGATTTTTATTTTCAATTTGTGCTTTCACTTAATGTGTTATATTTCACTTTAGTTTCGTTATTTATTTTCGTGGTTTTTTTGCCGCCACTTATATATTTTATGCTGTGACCAGGCAATTTCGTTGTTTTTTAAGTAAATTGTGCACACCAGATGTAAATAAATACCGACATAAGTACGTTTAAGAAACAATTGAAAAATTTGTCATGTAGATTTGTGCTATTCCACAGATTCGTTTGACTATTAATTATAAAATTTTGCATTTCTTAGAATTTTTTTACTTTTTTCTTATTATTAATACGGTTTTTTGTCTGCTCTCGATTTTACTATACGTCATCGAAATACTTTACTGCTCTTAACACATTTTATCGATTTTTATGCAACGCTCTTATATTTTTATATTTATGTTGTTGCTGCATTGCACTTACAAGATTTTTTTTTTGTATGTAAATTTCACAAATAAATTTATTGCTGAAAAATATTTTAAAAAAATTATAAGCGAATTTGCTGTTATAAAGTGCGCTTGAGGCCTTTCATATAGGAATAAGCATCTGTGAATTATGTATTGCTAGTGGTGACTGGTTGAAATCAATTATGCAGGTGAGTAGTTCTGACACTACCCAGCTTATATGCAATGAATACAGATTACAAAATGTTAAAAATAGTTGGTCCAAACAGAGCTCAAAATGTTTAGATACGGTAAAGGGGCACACATAGTGTGACCACATTACCCAGCGATTTTTGGTAATAAAAAATAATCCATCAATCTAAAAATTTTAAGGGTACACTATACCTATTTATATATATTTTGAGAATACACAGTAAAATTTTTTAAGGGAAAAATTTAATATTTTTCGAGTTATATACGTTACTCGACGGAATTAAAATAGGTGAAATAAAATTTAAAAAATCTCTACTAGAAGATATTGCCCTTACAACGACCGCAGGTCGAAAAAAAAAATTAAAAATTGACGGCATTATAAAAAAAAGTTGAGATCAAAAGACCGATAAGTCACTGCATGAAGAACTATACACAGAAGATGTAGAAAAAATTTAATACCGATCGGACCATTTGCCCTTGAGTAATCATTGCAGCAAAATCAAAAATGCTGTTTCGAGGAAAAGTAAGAACTGATAGAGCTAATTGCACTCAGCGGCTACATTTTAAAAAGCTGTAACACAAAAACTATTTAAGATATCGTTTTTAAAGCTATAAGCTATTAGAATATGAAAGAAATAATTTTCCAATTAGGTGTGACCTTTAAAGGTCTGGTCTATAAAGCGGTTGAGACAAAACTTTCCAGCCGCTGTTTTACAAATATTTTTCAAACTGTCTTATAATGAGGCCGACTGTTGTCATGATGGGCGTTTTTTGACTAACGCTAGCTTCAATTTCTTGAGTTTATTGTCGGTAGCATTCCCCATCATTTCACCCGGTATTAGAAGCTTATAATACAGCACGCTCTTCTGATCCTACTAAATATAGAGCATTACCTTTACATCATGGATATTCGGCTGGTCGGCCAGGTTTCACATATGATTTGGTTTTTGCGTTTAGTTTGCGTTGTCGTTCAATTCATATGGCACCCAATTATCTTGCTTTGGATGGTATCCGGTTAAATGTTTTGAAATGGCTGCGTGAGCGACTTCCAAAATTTCTGCGAACGCCTTTTGTCTTTGGAAACAATTTTTATCGAGTAATGCTTCCAGTTCCTCCTCTTCAAACTTCTTTGGTCACTAAGGACCTTCTTCGTCTTCCAAGCCAAAATCAGCACTTTAAAATCGTTTAAACCGCTTTTGGTACGTTCGCTCAGCTAGAGCATGTTCACCATAAACTTCCACCAAAATACGATGACTTTAAGCTCAGCGTTTTTTTGTACTAAAGTAATAAAAAAGTTCTTTCGTAAAGCACTGTTTCATGTACAAAGCTCGACATATTTGAGTAAAAAACAAGAAAAAAAAGCCTAACTTCGGTTGAACCGAAGCTATAATACCCTTCACAAATACAAAGGCTACTTACAAGAACTTGATTTCGAACGTTCAATTCGTATGGCAGCTATATGATATAGTGATCTGATCTGAACAATTTTTACGGAGATTATAGGGATGCTTTCGATTGAATTCTATGCCAATTTAATGACGATATCTTGCAAACTAAAAAATTTTTCCATACAAGCACTTGAGTTTGATCAGTCAGTTTGTATGGCAGGTATATGCAATAATTTTCCGATATCGGCGGTTCCGACAAATGAGCAGCTTCTTGGGGAGAAAAGGATGTGTACAAAATTCCAGTTTGATCTAAATCGACTCAGCTTGTCACGGTGATCATTTTCATATATACATATTTAATTTGTAGGGCCTCCGACTTTTCCTTTTGGGTGTTACAAGTTTTGCAACTGCATGTTTAGAATATTAGAACAATGTAAATATTAACAAGTTATGCCAAATCTTGGCAAACCGCACGAAAGTGGCTATAAACCCAATATATTTTGCATTTCTACACAATTTAAACCAGTTTTCAATCTTAGTTGTTGTGTTTAGTTGTGAGAAAATATAACTTCTAGAAAACATAAGTAGTAAACGTAACACAATATGTGCTTACGTATAATACACAGTATTACGAAAATGATGCAAGATAAATAGAACTTTTATAATTTATTCATTTTAATTGTTTATGGTACGTGATATTTACAAAAATGCTTTCGATATATAGTTGTTTAATTTTTTTCCGCACTATCGTGCATATAACGCAACTTATATTGACATGCTTAGCACATGACTATGATTTATTAACTTATCAATAACCGAAAGTGCTACCTACATAACTATAACAACCGTTCTAGAGCAAAAATTGTTCAATTGTGGTGGAGAACGAGAAAAATAAATTATATTATGAAAGCTTTAGCATTTTGCTACAGCATAATACATCTTGAAATTATGTATATAATTTTAACAAATACACAACATACATACATACAAATGTATGTAATATTGTAATGTTGTTGCTTTGAAAATGAAAACAAACTCACACCAGCGTATAGCAATTATCGACAATGGAGGAGCGTAACTAAAAAGGAAACGACCGGTAAGCAATCGCGGCGCTAGAAGGGATGCATAATACGAGTTTGTACATGTATATGGCGGGTTGTAACGTACAGGGGACAAAGCTGAAAGCAGAAAATAGTGGCACAACAATAAATGCCGCCAAATCGAAGGGTGCAGCATCGCACAAGCACAAACACAGGCATATTCATAAATGGAATGCATGAAAGCACAACAAAAATAATTTAGGTACACAATTAACTGTGGCATTTCTCAATTGTATACAGTTATTTACATACATACATATGTAGGCTAATACATGTACATACATATGGACTTAAGTCACAAATAATAAGAAAATTGACACACACTTTTCCGCTGCGACAATTGTTTTGTGTTTATTTAGTTGATATTTTTTGAAAGCCGGCTTGTTTGCATTGCACTTTCCAGCGCTTTTTTAACACACACACACATACGCGTTAGTTGCATCGATTTTTCGTGCAGCTCAATTTTCAAATTTTACACACTTATGAGCGTAATATATTTATGGTAAGCAGTAAACGTATTAACGTTGCACTAAAATATTATACATTTCTCTCTTGTACATAAATAAATTAAGTTATTTATAATCAGGTATTTAGAAAATTTCAATAATACTGCACACATAAACAGCACTTTAAAAATACAGCTGCTAAATTACTAGCATCGCTTCCGACTGTTTGTGTTCGACTGATTAGCGCACGAATGCGTTCCACATGCGGTGTTGCCATTTTATTGTCTATTCTATTAACTGCTGTTAATTATGTAAGCTTTCTAACGCGCTTTGTCTTTAATGTTATTGCTTTCATTGTACAAATTTTGCAATAAAAGTAAATCTTGGCAACTATTGTGATAATTGCAATAAATAACTAATTTAACATTTTATTTCAAGTTGTAATAAAAAAATATTACAACTGTGCTAAAATGCAACCATGTGCTGCAAAAGCTATTTCCTGCTTGCTGCTATTTAAAATAGTGCCGGATATCCTTCATGTTTTTTGAAATTAAAAAATTCAAATGCGATTAACGCTAGTGCGATTAATGTAAAAATTATAACAAAAATGTGCTATTACGCTCTAATTTCATAATGTTTGCTTTAAAATTCGTAAAAAGTACCATTTATTAACAAACTTTTAATCGATAACAGCAATCAATCGAATTTTTAGTGTGCTTGCGCTACCCATACCATTACTGACGTTCAAATTTTTAGCTGTAGTTGTTAGCAGTGATTTATTCAAAATTATATAAACGAAAGTGTGTGCAAGTGTGCATGTGTACAACTTCATTGAGTTGATTTGTAGCATAAATAGTGCAAATTTATGACAGTGTACGGGCGCAAATCATGTCATAACCTGCAATTTGTTACAGTTACTTTTTGTTAGTGCTGCGCTAGGGGTAACAGGTGAGTGCATATGATGGCGTTTTACATTTTACGAACGGTGCTGCCACAAGTCCATGTGTATATGTATTTTCATACAAACATAATAGATGTATACTTACCTAAGTATGTGTGTATCACAATTATGCTGTTAAAGTTATGCAAAACAATATTATTATTAATATTTTTTTAATAAAACACGCGTGTGTGTAATTTTCTTATGTATTTTATTAAATAAATTTTTTGCAAATACAATCCAATTTCCATACATATATTTTACTGTTCCTTTGTAAACATACAAGTAGTTTTTGCTTGCATTACTGTAAGAGAGTTTTTAAATATATGCTCATATTGTGGTTAATATAGTTTGCTGCAGACATTGATAAATGACACAAAATCTAATTACAATTAAGACCCTTGCTATGTTTTTGACAATTTTTAATGACACCTTTAATTTTGTTGTTGCGCTTTGCTAAAAAACAATTAGCCATAATACGTATAATGATAATTTTTATTTTTATCTTTTTAAGTATGTAATGCTTTTTGCTATGTTTTGAGTATGTGTTTATTCACTATATATGTATGTATGTACGATTTTAGAGTTTTTGCTATGCTTTCATTAAATATTGTTTGATTTTCACGGGAGACATATGATTTAGTGAATATGCGACTAAACAGTAGTATAGTTGACTAAACATGCAATAATATTTTGTTTGTTAAACGTTAATACATTTGTATGTAAATGATTCAGTACAGTTTGGCATTTTAGTAAGTACTTAATTATTTGTTGCACAAATTTTATTGTTTTTCCATTTTTATTGTTATACATTGTTTATTAAATCTGCTGTATTGGCGTTTCAGTTGCTTCGTTGACACCTGCAAATTATTTTTATATACTTTCTATTTTTTGTATTTGTGTGGTATTTTTTTTATTGTGCTCTAGGTTTGGCTATGTTGTTTTGCTATTATAAACTTCATGCTAATGGTTCGTGTATGTTATGAAATACAACTATATTTTTACTATATGTAAAAAATACAATAGTTTTGATTCCACAATTATTGAGTTGTTTATGAGTTTTCAATAGCATTTTTTCTATTATTTAATTATAGCAACACTACGAAATTTGCCTGCTATTTTTCGTGCACTGTGTAGTTTACGGTATATTTTTGTCCTATTTGGCTGCTGTTTTGGTGAATATATGTATATATGTAGTTATTACTAATACGATTGTTCAAAATTATTTAATGCTCACGCATATATTTGGACGTAGAAATTTTATAGTTTATCTTCAGTATATTTTAGTAATTTTATTGTTTAGCAATTTTTATTGCGTTTAATTTCTTGTTGCTTTCTGGGAGAACTGGCAAATTTGGATGGAGTTAAGTTTGCCCGTGTATATATTTTTTGAAATTAGCTGTCTTTTTCTACTACATAATTGCTAATAGAAATACAAAGAACAAATTTTGCTATTTTTGTTTCAGTGGCAACTCAATGTAATACGTTCTATTACATTTAGCGCAAAACAAAATAAATACATAAAATATTTCTGTTTTTTTTAATTTTTATAATTTTAGTTGCATATAAGTAGTTATATATTGGGGCTATTTGACATAAATATTTGTCAAATACATACATATAAATGTAGTTGTCTCTTTTGTATATGTATATAGTTTCATGTAAATAACACTATAAATGCAGCTCAAAGACATTTATTGTTGGGTTTGTTTGATTTAGGTGTACCTTTAATATTTTATATAGTATGAATATTTTTTTTTCGTAAATAGTTATCCACTGTATAATTCTTTGTTTTACTATATCAATTTTATTTTAATACATATGACCTTGAGGTAGTTAATTTTTTTCATTCTCATTTACTTTTTAAAAGCCCATATTTGGTTTTTCGACGTTACACACATTTATATTAGTTATATTTAGCATATTCTGTTTGGTTTTTTGCATATCTTCCATTAAAACTTTTTTTCAGTTTTGATTTTTTTTAAACAAGAAACTTTTCATTTTTAATTTGTTTGCTTGTTTAAATATATTCTTATATTATGTTTTATTATAATAAATTTCTATTATTTTTCGCTTTTGCTTTGTTTATTTTCTATTTGTTTAAAAAGTACCAACGGCTGCTAATGCGTTTATCGATAACAGCGTGTCATCAATATTTTAGTTTGGCATGCCATAACTGACAGTTAAATTCTGTGCTACAGCTGCTAGAAGTGGTAGTTGTGTCAAAAACCGTTTTTACCCGGATATACGTATTGTATATTTGAAATAATGACAACAAAATGTTTGAAAGTGTTTGTTATTATGACTGTGCATTAACGCATATCTTAAAAGTGTTGTTGCATAAAGAAAAGCAAGTGAGTTGCATTTGCTCCCTTCATTGTATATAAACACTGCCATGGTAGAGCAACGCCGTTTTAATATCTTTTGCTGCAAATTGTACTTTTTGCGTGTGCATTGCAAAGCATTTCTTACAGCAAGTCAAAATGGCCGCGATGTCAAACTGTTGTTAAAACTACAGTTTATAGAAGTATTGTAATGTGGCGGTTGCACTGCTGTTATTATTTGTTTTAATCGAAATTATTGTGTGCTAAGTAAAAGAAGCTTAATGTAAAAGATTGGGTTAGCTAAACTAATGTAAATTAAATCATAATATACGTGTATGTGTGTGCAGTAGTAAAAAAAAACAAATATTAAATAAATAATACTTGCTCGTAAAGAATCAGTATTTAATGTGCTAAAAATCCAACAATAAATAAATAGTACTTGCCTTCGAAAAAAATCAGCATTCAATGTGCAAAAAATCCGGCAATAAATAAATAATACTTGCCTTCGAAAAAAATCAGTATTCAATGTAATAACTGAAATAAATATTAAAATAAAAAGTCAGAGTTTTTCGTTTTTTTCTTATATTTTTTTTAGCCACAAAAAATATATAAGATTTTTACACAAAAACAAATCTTTTAATTCTGCAGTTTTTTGAGTTTTACGATTTTTTTGTATTTTTTTGTTTTTTAATATGTTTGCTTTTAGTTAGCATTACTTAATTAGCGTAAATTTAGTTTTCATCGTTTCTTTTATATTATAATCTTCATAAAAAATAATAATAATATAATCTTTTCATAAACATACATTTTCTCCCCCACTACAATTGCATTTAATACAATTTACAACTACTTTACTTTCAATTACATTGTACGTTGCTTAATAATTTAAACTTTTCCGACTCACAAATAATTTTCGCACAAAACAAGTAAAATAAAAACATTTTAGAGCAATAAAAATTACATATTAAATTGTTTACGCTAAATTTTTGCATTTCGTAGTTTTGTATATAAAAATAAAAACAAAAAAAAATACAATTTGAAAAAGCAAATACTTATTAAAAAGTAAAACATAGCTAATTTTTTTAAGAAGAAAAGAAAATGCGCAAGTATTGTTTATAAATACAAATGAAAAACCAAATATTTTATTTCATACATAAGTAATCATGGATGCTTATGCTGCGGTAAGTAAATTAAAAAAAAAAAGCTTGGTAATATTTATATTATAATAGTAAGTAAAGTATATAGTAAATAAGTTTTATTTATTATTATAAAAAAAAAATGTATAAACATAATATTATATAAACTTGATACATTTTCAATTAAAATTAATGCAGCGCGTTGTACGCATGCGCAGGCCCGCAAACGGCTTTAATTATAAACTACTATCACACAGAGAAACCGTTAGCCGGCGCTACGTCGCCGTACAACGCGCCGGTGGAGTTGCGTAAAACCGAAACTTAAACAAGGCACGCATGCCAAGTTGCAGCGGCAAACGCCAGCAAGGTCGTATATGTTGCAAACTAATGAAAATATACGAATGTACAAACGCATGCGCGTTGCACACGAACACAAATGTGTGTGTATGTATGTATGTATGTGCAATTTGTACAACATTACTTATGAGTTTTGATTTTAACCAGCTCCACTTCCACCCGCTGCTTTAACTATTATTAGTTTCATTATAGTTGCAATGCTTGTTTATATAGTTACATACACATCTTTGAATATTATTTTTTTTTTCATAACTTTGTTGTTTTTGTGTGTTTTTTTTTTTTGATAGACATAAAGGGTTTACAATATTATAGTTATTTATTATTGTATTTTTGTATATATATTTTTGTTTGTATGTTTGAACGTTATTTGTAAATGCAAAATACGTTTTTGTTTTGAAAGATTAAAACAGAACAAATATATATATAGTGTTTACATTAAAGAAGTTAACATGCGAATTATAAAAATCGTTGATAATCGTATGTTTCAGTTGATTATTATTTAAATTTAATTTCCAAGAGTGTTATTTGCAACAGCGAAATTTTACATTTTAACAGTTTTTGTCTATTTTCTTTAACCGCTGGCTTTGACAAAATGCCGTTAATTACTGCTTGTTGTTAAACAACACTATTTGCTTTAACCTCTTTTTTTCAAATTTTTGCTGACATTATGCGTTTTTTTTTTTTAAATTAAATAGCAAATTATTATTAAAAAATGCGCTTTTTATATATGTGTTTAGTATATATGACAATTTATGTTTGCATTATAGAAAAACTAGCTCATTTCCATTTTACGTGTATATAAATTCTATGTTTTAATTACGTAATATTTAATTAATTAAAGTAAACATACAAAATATAGGAGAATTTGTATAAACATATTTTAATATGTCTGTTTTGTTTATATGCATAACACTAATTTGTTATTATTATTTTATTATTTTGTTTTTGTTTTTCTTGTATGCTTGCTTTTATATATAATTGTTTTATTATGTAAAATTATTATTTTCTTCAATTATTACATTTATATAGTATGTGGTAATATGTATATAGTATATATATATTTTATTTTATATTATTATTTTTTGTATGTATTTAACTGTATATGTATATATAATTTTTTGTTGTTGTTGTTGTTGTGGTTTGATGTGTGCATGAATGTATGTGCAAAATATTGTCGGCACCAATTAAAAAAAATGTAGTTCAGTCTCCAGGCAATTAGCGCGTCAACATTTTACACGCATTTTCATGCATTACGTGGCTATTACAAGTCATACAAATAATAACTAAAATAAAGTTGCAAAAAATTTTCGAAAAAAACTATCGTTGTTTGTAAAATGTAGTTTTTGTTAGTATATGCATACATTAAAATTGACAAAAATACAATAATTAAAATTTTAGCGCAGATAATGTTAAGAAAATATTTACGCAATCTTATGTATGTGTAACTTGTGTTTGTTATACTTATTTTTTTTTTGTTTTTGTTTTTGTTTTTTGGTTGGTGTATTTTTTCATTAATCTTTATATTGTAGCTTATATATAGTACATATATATTTTTAATGTGCTCAGCAGCATTTTGTTTATTGCAAAATGTGGTAATAAACTCTTTGCAGCGCAAATTACAATTTGCCGTTGCATTTCGCCAGCTGTCACTAATTGTAATGCATTATGACGCGTTTACACCACAAACCTGCTGTAAATACCGCTGTGTTTAGTGTTGTAAAGCGTTTAATTTCGATTTTTGCTTGCTGCAATTTGTAAACTAATAATTTGTTTGTTAAGCGCTAATAAATATTTATTTTTTATATTTAAATTTCTTTTGTTTTTTATTAGCAAATTTTACAGAGTTACGTTGTTTGCTGATTTTCTTTTTTATAACTGCTTTATTTACTTACATTTTGCAATTTTGCACTTACGTTTACAAGTTATTTCTGCTGCTAGCTCTATTATTATATAGTGCTTAGTAGTTATTACAAACCAAAACTGTAAATATATATTTTATAAATTTTTTTTTTTTCACATGCGTTTTTTTATATGTCTGTGTTGTTGTTACATAATTTACTGCTGTTTCCTGACTTTACTTTTCATTTCATTTCAATTATACTTTTTATTACTATTATTAGATTTTTTTTTTGATATTTTATTTTTGTTATTTATATTATTGTTTTGTGTTGCTTTGTTTTTGTTTACTAGTACAACGGTGCTATCGGTGTTGCTGTGTCAATTCTTATGTTTCTGTTTAAGTTATATGCTTTATGTATGCTTTTTAACTTATTAGCTAAATATTAAAGTTTAAATTTTATTTTGTTTAATTAATATGTTTCATTTTTGTATATTTTATGTTGTATTTTTTTTATAACAAATCTGTTGGTACAGCATTTAAGTGTTTTATAAGTGTTCTTACATCAAACATTTATTGTATTTTTGTATGTTTTTGGTTGTTTAATATTTTTTAGCAACTTTTCTGGTTTTCTTAAGCTTTTATCTTTGAAATGCCATCATTTATGTATTTAATTTTCAAAAAAAATAAAAATTTCCTGATTTGGGCAGTGTAGAAAACACGTTTCTTTTAGTTTTTTGTTTGCTTTTACAAACTATTTTTGTAAAACTAAAACTGCAAATATGCATATACAGTTTAGTCGTGTTTTTTGCCTTTATTGGTTTACTACTTTATTTAGTATTTGTTATTATACAATTATTTTTACTTTTTTTTTATTACTCTGTATGTGTATTTTTATGTTTTTGCTTTTAGAGCGTGCTTTTTTAATATCTCGCTGCTTTTATTTGCAACGCGTTTTTTATTTCAAGCGTCTTATGCTTTGTTGTTCTATACGCATTGCATAAAACATTGGCTATATTACGCTCAGCACACTCAAAAAGCAGCAAGTGCTGTTTTGTCAATTTTGGTATAGTTACATTACTGTCGCTGCTGTTTTAGTAATTAGCGTTTTGTCTGGTTGGGCTTAGATTGGTTGGTTTGTTCTAGCTTATAGATATATTTTTCTTTAACGTTTTTGTGTGTTTTTGTTTTTTTTTTTCTTAACTGTCGCATACTCTATGTTGTCCTGCTTGATGCTATACTTTGCGTTTTTGCGGCCGGTTCCTTTAAATTCCTCTTGCTTTTAAATTTTTATTAGTATTTATGCAGTAAATGTCTGATTTTTGTTTGTTGTTGCCGTTGTTGTTGCTATATTGATACGTTTTTCATTATTTGCATTCATCTTGCTTAACAAGTACAGTTATATGTATGTACTGTTCTACATCAACCAAATATACTAAAAAGTGTATACGCTTTCTGCTTTCCTACTTACTATAAACTAACTGTTATTATATATAGTTTTTTTTTTTCATTTAAAAAAAATTCAAATTTCGTTATTTTTTAAATAATTATATTTTGTACTCGTTTTTGTACGATTCTATAATTGAAAATTCATAAAATTCTACACGAATCTGCATGATGGCGTGAAGTAAAAGTAAAGAATTTTTTAGTTTTAGTTTTTATTTGCCTGTAGAAATTACATAAAAAACCTATTCGCAAGAAAATAATGTTGCATGACGGCTGTAGCTGCAGTAAGAAAATGTGCAAAAATTGCATAAAACTGTCATTAAAACGACAACAAATTCGTAAACTGTCAGCAAACGCTATTTGAATTGTTAGATGTAGAAGTTATGGTAAAAAGTAGTGTAAAGTAGCGGAATTCGTAATAAAAAATTTTCAAATGTATATTTTTCCAAAGCTGCGCTAAATAATAATAAAATATCGCAAGTAAAAGTTTTTTTAAGTTTGTAATTTAAAATATAAATTCTGTTAGACAAACATTTTTCTATTAATTAGCATAGCACAAGTAAAATTTAGACTTTACTGTTTAGAGTATTTAAGTGCTTAAAATTTGTAATGTTTTATTAAAATTGCATGGGAATTGTATTCTTTTTTTTTTAAACTAAAATTTTTAACATATTGTTTTTAAAATCAGTGAAGATTTCAAAGAAATTTTATGAAACTTACATTTTATCAGTACTTGGCACCGCTAAATAACAAATTTAAACCATCTTTAACTCGCTGATTTTACAAAACACATACGTTCGCTTATTTTTGTTAATTTTTTGGGCATTCCATGTCTTAAGTCAACTTTTATTTGCCGGGTCGCTATATTAGCGCATATCTCACTGCAGTTTTTTACTCACTCACTTTCGCTTGCTTGCACAACTTGCTTCGTAACTGATACGTCTGTGTTCCACTTGTGCAAAGCTTAAGCTAGAAACATATTTAAAGCATAGTTTTTTATGTTTCGTTTACTGAAAAAGTACGTTATTGTATAGAAAATAATTTTTGAAAATATTTTTCGTGCTCTTATTAGTGAAAAGTAAGTATTATTAGTCATTTTCTAAATTTCAAAAAAAAAAAAAATTGTTTTTCATAAAAAGCAGTTTAAGTTTTGTATACGTTTTTAGCTTACTGTGAAGTTGTTTTTGAAAATGTTCACGCATTGTGCCATTACCACTCTCCTCTCTTTGCAGAAAAACGATATAAATATAGCCTCTAAATACTAATAAATAAATCTTGGTTTCACCACCTATAAATGCCAGCAAACGCGTACTACGTAGTATTATTATTAATTTTTATTTCATAATTTAATATTTACGTGCGCTTTACGCTCTCACAACATAACTTTTCACTTCTTTCATTTTTTTTGCAATAATATCTATAAGTTGCCTTTTAACAAAAAAAAAAAAATGTTTTCAAAATATATGTATGATTTTTTTTGTTTTTTTTATACCCCAAGTTACTTTGTATACTCGTATAAGTTTGTAAAATGTACTTTCGATTTCTATGAAATCTACGCAGTATTTTTAAATTTCTTTTTCGAAATGCAAATATTTGTAAAATTTTGCCTTACATATTTTTTTATCTCTAACGCAGTCGTAAAGTTTGGACAAAATCGTGTCGGACATGTTTTTGTTGGCGTTACTAGCTGGGTTTGTTGTCACTGTTGGTTGGTTATAAGCGCGCATGTCGTTGTCGTTTTAATGTTTTACAGCTAAACAGCTGTTTATTTTGACATTGCGCCTAGCTATTTGACAGTTATTAATTTTTGTTTGTTTTGCATGTAGGATTTTTTCATATGTATTTTTTTTTAATTGTATAGTTCTTCTCAAATTTAGTTGCATTTTGGTTGAAACTCTTGTTGAAGTTTTGTTCGAACTTTGTCCACGCTTTGACTTGTTTTTCCTTGAACTCTCTGCCTAATTCTTTTTGTTTTCTTAATATATATAATATATTAAAGAAAATATAGCCTACAATATATATATTACCCGTACATTTTCCGCATAAAAACAGTTTAGTTTCGATTTACTCAAATTTCTCAGCTCATTCGTTTTGTTCTTGTAAGAATGTTTGTATGTTTTTTTTTTTTTGGTTTCTTAGTTATAATGAGCGAGAAAAAACAATTTCAACAAAATCTTATATATTTATCGTAAATTTTATAAATATATATTTTTTAAAAATATATATATAAAAGGTATACCTACAAAATATTATATACACACTTTATTCAATTTGAATCGCTTCGAAATTGGCGTAGTCATGGTGCACCATGCAATTTTTGTTGTAGTTCGCTTGCTGTTGTTGTTATTTCACTACATACACGCTTCTTGCATTTTTTTATTTTTAAGATTCGTTTGCTTACAGCGTTTACACTCGTTTGCTTGCAATCGCTCTACCCATTAAACAATACTATATTAGTAAAAATAAACTGATTTCTAACTTCACGCGAAAATATTTTTCACAATTCATATTCTTCAAACTTTTAAAATCTTTAGTATTAGAACTTTTTGTTTTTTGGTATTTGAATCGGCTTTCGTTTTGTTATTTCAATCGGTACAATAGCGGGTAAACGCTTTTTTTCGAGTAAATGACAGTGCAACGGCTTGTACAACGACTAATTGCAATCGCCAAACAGAATTGCGTTTTCACACATTTCGACATGCAACATGCGACATGCCGCTAATGCGCGCACAAACAAGCTATGCTAGCGAAAAGTGCAAAGAGCGTAACTTAAAAAAGCAGCTGCTTCAGTGACAGCGAAATATGCTACTGAAAAATTTTCATAAGCGTAAAAATTTCAGCTGAAAATATCTGTATAATCTAGTGTAAATATAGCTTCGATTGCTTTGTTGTTGTTTCCGATACGTTTAAGCTACCAAGTTCGCTAGTTTTTACTTTATTTTTTTTCTTTGCGTTTACTCAACTTTGCCGCCACTTATTTAAATAACGCTCGCCTCTCTTTTCATTTGCGCAATTTCGTTGCAGCGCCGTTCCACAACTCTCTGCATTGATGCTGTGTTTTACTGTGTTTGTGTCAATTATTTTTTGCTTAAATTGACATTTATCGTTTGAGCGTCAATTGTGTGGTGATCTTTTCACATTATGTTTTGATCTATGTCCTGGCTATTTGTGACGTGCGCTGTTTGTGATCTACACTGTTTTTTGTTGTATGTTTAAAATATTTTGCTTAAATTTCATACGTTTAAATTTTTATTGATATGCGCATTTGTTGTTAATAGTTACCGTTACCGTTGACTATGCCTTTGAATTAGCTTTGCAGTTGCTAAACTTGTATCGATAACTTTAAAGTCGTGCAGTGTATTTCCGGTCATTGTTTTGTTGTAATGCTGTTGTTGTTTTTGTTTTTTATTTTTAATTTGCTTGTTGTCCAATTTGGTGCATTCCTTAGCAAATAATGTTTATATACACTAATTGTCGGTATATATGTAATTGTTTTCTTTGCAACAATTATGCTTGATAACGGTTTTGTTTTGTTATTTTTACTACTTTTCATGTTTTATTTCGGGCAATATATGTATGTTTATGTTCTAAATTGGTTTGTTATTCATTATTAGTTTTAATTTTTTTAATTAAATTTTATTGTTTTATCATCGAATTTTCGTGGTATTTTAAATTTTATTAATTTTTTTTGTTTACTTTTAATTTTCCTTTATAATAAGAAGATAATGCACTTATATTGAGGTAATTATTTGCGTTAATTCAATCATTCTTTTTCGCTTTTATTCAACATTAACATCTTTTGCTTTCACAACAACAATTTTTCAGCATTTTTAGTTCGTACAATTTTTAGTTTAAGAAAACACCCTTTATTAGAAACTAAAATTAGTAGTACTTCCTTGTTGCCTACAATTGTCTGCTATTTGTTGTAATGTTTTTATTTTTTTTTTTATCGTTAAATTTGCCTGCTATTTGCTGTAATGTTTTATTATTATCGATAATTTTGAGATTTTTTTTTGCTTATGCGTTTTGCCGAAAGGTTTCTTTTTAATTTTATTAATGAATTTTGCATGGCGTCGGTTGCTGTGGCAGTAACATTAATATTATATAACATAAAAATATGAAAGTAATGTAAAAATGCGTTTGAAATAATGATACAGTTTGCAGGCTATAATTACATTAATGTTAAAAAAAAAAAATTAAAATAATATTATAACAGAAAAGTCTATGAAAAATAACGATAAAGTTTACAAGATCTAATAACATTGGTATTATATAAACAATTATAATAATATGCAAATATTTGAAAACTCGCTAAAATATCGTTAGAGCTTACAGGTTATATTGTGTCGCTGGCATAATGCTAGTAACATACTAAATGATTTAATTAGTTAATTATTTTGATTTTTATAGATTTTTCAAAATTTTAATTGCTCGTCTGCCACTGCAACCGTCGGCACCAATGCAAATGCAATATTTTTTGTTTGAAACATTTTGAAAGTTTTTTTTTGTCGAAAAAAGTTGTTTTAGTGTTTTGACAGTATGTTTTCGTGTTTGTGATTCAGTGAAAAAAATTAAGTTACATCCTATTAATGTTTCATTGCAAGCTTTTACCAAAAATTAATATTTTTTAAAAATTGTATAGAGTATTTTTTTTTTTTGCAAAATATTAACCCCCGCATGCAAATAGTTGCAATTACCGTACATCAATGAAATTTTTCATAGCAAACAATTCGAAACTATTTGTACTTAAAAAGTAGTTAATGCATTAGCTACACTGAATAACAGTAATTAATTATATATGATGATTTATTTTGTTTGTATTTTGTATTTATGTATTGAATATGTTAATATTATGTAGAAAACGATTACAACAATAGAAAATATATGTCGTTAAAATATTGTTATTGTGTAAATTATGTTATATTGTGTAATTTCAAGTAATTAAATATAGTAATTTGCTGCTGTATACTATTGTATTGGTATATTTATTAATTATGTGTGTATAACTTGCAATAAATTTATTTTATTTTTTTGTTTATTTAGTTTTTTTTTTTTTTTGTTTCATTAATATACTCTGGGTTTTATGTATGTATGTATGTAAAATTGCGGCTATGTATATGTATTTATTGTATGTATGTACAAATATATGCGTATGTAGGTAAATGTGTCTTTAGACGGCGCTATTTTGTTTATACATTTCTTTAATAAACTATTTATGCATAAATGTAAGTATGTATATGGTATTGTTATATATTTATTAAAAAAAAAAACAATAAGTTCAGCTTGGCTATTTAGGTAGTTTAAGGACTATTATAGGCTACTTTATTTTGCATTAACTCGGGCTATTGTCTGCACACTACTGTGGTTACTAGTAAAAATTGCGGTAAAAATATTTTTTTTTGTTTTTGCTTTGCAAAATCTGTTAATATTTCTGCTATTGTTTACAAAAAAAAAACTATTTTATTTCTATTTTTTTCACATTAAACTATTGGTTTGTTGGCATGCAAGTTGATTGTTTTGTTTGTTTGATTGTTTGCTGCTCATTAATAAATTTACTAAGTGTAAGTGTCTTGTTTGGTTTAACTATTTTTTCTTCTTCGTTTTTTTAACGACTAATTGCCACCACTTGCTACAGCGTATACTATGTTTTACAGTTACTTTTCATATGACAGTTATATGTATGCATGTATAATATATAAATATTTATTGTAAATAATGCTGAAACTAATTTAAAAAGTGAATAAAAAAAATGCTTAGGGCAAGGCAGAAAACATATTTAACATGTAACAAAATTATTATAATTCTAAAATATTATTTTTATTAATTAATTATTATATTTTTCGCATTTTAGCGCTCTAACTGTTTTGGGTAAGCAATTAGCGTAGCTTATTTATTGTAACTGTCAATTGCATTAAAAACAAAAAAAAAAAAAACAATATATTTATATATGTATATATGTATATGTAAAATTAATTTAAAATTTAAGTGTGTTTTATAAAAAAAAGGAATTATTTACTTTACTTTAATCATTATACTCATATTAAACAACATTTTTCATACTAGTCTGTATGCAATTAAAACATTTCAGCACCGTTTCAAGGCAAACGCAATTAACATTTCTCACTAGACGCAAAAAAAAAATTAAATATGTAGAAACTTTTTCAATGGAACTAGTTGTTCAAGTAGTTACTTTCGGTTAATTTAGTGTAATATACCTGCTAGGCTGACGCTAGTAACACAAAGTTACAGCAATTTACTGCCAACCTTGTTATTGTTTTGTTTTTATTCTTTTATACCACTAAATTTTGTAGGAACACATTTGCTCTTTGTTCGCTGACTTTTCGCGTGTCTCTCAAAATTACGACGGAATATATGTAGTTGATTTTTGCAGTAAGTTAGTTTGCTAATAAAAAATTAAGTGACTGCAAAAAAAAAGTGTGGCAGCGCTTGCTTGATAATGTTGCAGTTTGTGTAAGCCTTTTAAAATATTGAAGAAATTTTTATTTTTAGTAGTGGTAATACAAATTTAAAAAAATTATTGCTATGCTACACTTGAAAAAAAAAATTTTTTTGTTATTGGTAACACAAATAAAAAAATTTTAAAATGCTAAACTTACACAATTTACGTTTTTGCAAGTTGTAATACAAATAAAAAAAAAATAATTAAAAAAATTTTTAAAGTACTAAATTTGTAACAATTTTCGTGTTTGCAGTTTGTAATACAATTAAAAAAAATATAAATATTGAAAAAAAACTAAAAAATTAAATAAGAAAATAAATTTTTTTATAATTTTTATTTTAAACAAAAATATTTTTTCGAAGTCGAGTATTGTATACCACATGCGCTGCACTTTTTATGTAGTGTTCTCAATTTTTTATTAGCATTCTTACTTCCAGCTTAATTTTTTATTTTTGCTCTAAAGAAATATTTGCTACCGCGTGCAGCTCATTATTGTATTGCCATTTTTGGTTGATTTTTGCACACACATTTTTCAATTTCGCCAAACTATATTTATGTTAAATATTTTATTTATAATATCTTTAATTTATCTGCTTTGCTTGCAAAAATAGAAAATTGTTATTGTACATTTTGCAATAATTAACTTTTTTGCATTATTGTTTTTTATTTTTAATGCTGCCAAATTTTTATTGTTCAATTTTGGTTTTTTTATGAATTGATGCGCAACGTACACTGCATATGTTTAAACAAAAATAGTTTGATTTTTGGTCATTTTGTTTTTGTCGCTATTTTCTGTAAGCGATTTCTCACTTCCACGTAAATTTTATAAAATTTTGTATTTTTTTTTATTTTTTTTTATTTTGTGAAACCGTATATTTTTCGTTATTTAGTTTAGAACAGTTATGTGGTTTGACTTTTGCAATTTTTCTCTATTTATTTTGCGCTTAAAAGCGCGTTTATAACGGTTATCAAATTATTTTAATTTTTTTTACCAAAAAACGATATTTTATATTTATTTATATAATATCTTTAAACTTTGATTTCAGTGTGTTCACTTGACATAAAATTACGTTAATAATTTAAGGTTTTTATTTTGCTGTTTTAGTATGTGTTTGCATTTATTTTTGAAAAACCAAATTTTTGAAAAAAAAAAATTTATGTAAAAGATTAAATTTTTTTATTTTGCTGTTTTAGTATGTTTCAATCATGTGTTTGCATATATTTTTGAAATCATAAATTACACTGAAATTGTAATTTTTGAAATATACTAATTTTTGCAGTTTAAATATTTTTGTTTTGTTTTTCAAAAATTATTAAAACTTTTTTAATCGCTTTTCGAAAATGTTACTTTTGTATTATTTTTAAATATGCTTTAATGCAACCGTTACATATATATATTTTTTTTAATGTTTGTTTTGTTCTGCAAATTCATATTGTTTCGCTAAATGGAACTTTTCACGCCGGTTTATTATTTTATTTATTTTTTTTTTGGTTTTTTCCTTTAATTTTTGCAGTTTTGCATTCACTATATTTATTTTTTCAATCTTTATCATATGCAGCGTTGACGTTTCTAATTTTTTTGTTGTCGCACTGTATTCTTTTCAGTGTTGGTGGGCTCCAGCTGTTTTAACAGTGTCTGCGCATGAAATTTTTGTTTTTGAATTTTGGTTACAGCTACTATTTTATAGATTTTGTTTTTAATATTGCAAATGTGTGTATCTGCTGACATTTGGGTCTAAATTATTTTTTTTTTTAACAATTTATTATGTGGAATTTACACGCGATTTTTATTATACAATTTGGTTACTATACAAAATTAGTTTTTATTCAAAATTGATTTTTATTTTTTGTTGGCGTTTAAAAAAGCGACACTGCGTGCTTTCCATTTGCTATAAAAGCGAACAAATGTGTTGTTGTTGTTTTTACAAGTATGTTTATTTGCTGTTAGTGTTGCTAAATATTTTCCTCAGTGTGTTGTGTATTTTCCATTTTTTGCATCAATTTAATTTTTTTTTTTGTAATTCATTGGACTTCAAATTTTGTTTATATATGTTTTGTTTGTTGTTATTTTAGGTTTTGTTGTAAATTACTATTATTTTCGTTTGCTTTTTCTGCTGCTCCTATGGAAATTTACCACTCTTTACTATTTCTGTGCTCATCATCATTTCTGTCATCAGCATTTACTCAGCAATATGGTTTATATATTAACAACCACAACGTTGACTCATCAGCGTTGTTGTTTAAAAAAGCAATATATATTTAATAATTATGTTAATAGTATATTAGAAAACCTAAATACATCATCATCATACACATTTCTCTGCATTTAATTTAATAAAAAAAAATAATAATAATAAAAATAAAAAATATTAGTAGTTTCAACAAAACGTTTGAAACGCATTTATAATTTTTAATTGTGTTTTTTTTTCTACTACTTTGCTTACTGACTTGACGCAGGTGGCTGTTGTTGTTGCTGCGGCGGCGACTGCTGCTGCTGTTGTTGTTGTTGTTGCGGCGGCTGCTGCTGCAGTTGATGTTGTTGTTGTTGCTGCTGCTGCTGTTGTGTTACTTGCTGCTGCTGCAGCTGCTGAGTCCCACTGCCGGCAGCGGCAGCAGCTGCTGCAGCGGCGGCGGCGGCGGTTTGCTCCTTGGCGGCTTTCTGTTTTTTGGTGACCGGTGGCGGATTCGTCGACATCATCATGGCGCGTATGCGTCGCTGTGCCGACTACAAAAACAAACACAATATTTTTATGCAATTAAATTCGTAAATAAAAACATATGCATTTTTTTTTTTTGTTTTTTGCCTGCTTACCTGTACGCTGTAGAACTGCCCGATTATATGGACGGGAGTCTCCTCATCGCCACCCGATGCTGGCGCCACCGCATGCTCTGGTAGCTTGATAACACTGCCAGTAACGCGTTGCAAGTCGCGCACATTTTGGCCGCCCTTGCCGATTATTCGACCGACCTATAGTGTTCACAAAAATGCATTATTAAATACAGCATTTTAAATTTTTATGGTTTAGTTATTTTGCTACGCACCTGTGAACTGGCTACCATAATTTCGACTGTTAGTCGTACATCTTCGGTGCCGCACATGAAGCCCTCTTCCCGCATTTTTTCGAAAATCATATATTGGGCTTTCCATTGGCCTTCGGGTGTGCCGACGATTGTCACTTTGCGTTCGGTTTGCTGCTCGGCCGGCTTATCGTTGTCGATTGGTGCGATCTTTAGCGAGGCATTGGAGAAACGCATGACACTGCGTATGTAGGAGCCTTTGGTGCCGATAATCGCGCCCACCGCATTGTTCGGTATGTAGAGGTATGTGGTCTCCTGCATATCGTTGGGGAAGACGGGCGGTACCACACTAGCCGGTGTCTTGGACATCGGGAAGCCCGGACACGATTGATATGGCATGCTTGGATTGAAGACCATACCATTGCCGGGTGTCGACATCATGGCCATCGGATGGAGGCCAGGGAACATTAGGCTTTGTGGCGCCATTGCTTGCAAATCATTCTCATAGCTTTGACGTAGTTTTGAACTAATTTGCGCTTCGGCACGTGACATATTATCGATTACGCCCTTAACCGTAATGATACGTTCCAAATTGAAGCTATTGATATCGTTTATGGAGCTAACGGTAATCTTCGTATCCGTATCCTGCATAATACGTTTGATCGTATTACCGTTTTTACCAATAATGCGACCGATTAGATTGTTATGGGCCAAAATCTTCAAGCATATGTCACTGTTGAAGAATTAGAGAGAGAGCAAGAGAAAAAAAGAGGTTGGACAAATCATTTTTGATATGCTCATAAAGCTATGCTACAAGTTTTCAATTGATTTCAAAATTCGTTGTGAAGCTCGAACCACCTACTTTTATGCGATGCGATCTTCATATTAATGTCATTACTCACCCCTTATTCGTTGAGATGGCCTCCTGTTGCATCACCTCCAAAATGCGTTTGCACGCGTTCGTGCAATTTTCCGGATTACCATAAATGGTGATCGCCTTTTCCAGCGAGCCGACATTCTCCTTTCGATGCACATCGACACGCGCATGGCTCTGTTGTGTAATCGTGCGTATGGTTATACCTTGACGGCCAATAATGGCGCCGACCATTTCACTTTGCACAAGAATGCGCAGCGGAAAATCAGCTTGACGTCCGGGTCCTGGCATACCGGGATATGGATTGCGTTGATTACGATTCGTGCGACGTTGATTCTTATCCAATGGCTCGGCGTGCAATTTGTTGCCCTCAAATTCGACACCGTTCAATCCGCCAGCAGCTCTGTAATTAGCGAGAGAAAATTAAAAGTTGGATTAGCTCTTTCGTAGACTTGGCATTTTTGTCGTGCTGATGAAAAACAATGCGAAAATATATATGTTTCATTACACATTCGAAAATGTTCGAAAGTCGAAGAGTACTCGGACTCAACGACTCACATTATACATATATCTTTGCTTTTATCCAAATCAAATATTACAAATCTTGCGGCTCTTTAATAGAGACCAAGTACCTGATATATGTTTTATATTTTGATAATACGCAGATTTTGGAACACATCAAGAGAAAAAGTTTCGGTCAAAAACTTATGAACACGAAAAATTTGTAGAATTTTGTTAAAAAAAAATACCCAAAATAACCAATGTTTTGAATTTCAAAGATCTATAAACTTAGTTAGACAAGCCTATCGGTCGGTAAAGTTTTAACTGCAACATTCAAAGCTCCGTTTCAACACTCGTATTACATTTTTTCGAAGGGTTAAGAAAGAAAATGCGTATGGCAAATGCAAATGCGAAAAAATTATAAACATAATAAAAAATAAAAATTACAAAACAAAAATATATTTGAAATATGTAATTAACAAAGTGCAACTCTAATCATAAATGTAACAAAAATATTGAGGCAACATAAAAAAATAATAAACAACAAAAAAAAAAAAAGTGCCAAATAATAAAATGAAGAAAAGAAAAGAAAAAATTGCATAATGTAATACCTTTGAGCCTGATCGGGATTTTCGAATGTTATATGTACAGTCTGAGTATTGGGGTCCTTACTAGACACAGCCTCACACTGTTTGACGATGCCATATGGCTTCAGTAGAGGTTCGATGTCTTCGAAACGCGTTTGCAGCGGTATGCCGCTAATAAGAATTTTCGATGTCGAAACGCTGTGAACAAAGAAGAGATAAAAGTTGAAGTATAAAACAACAACAACAACAACAATGCATAACAACAACAACAACAACAACGCAAAGGTGAAGTAAATTTGTGGAGGTGTGACAATATAGCGAAAAATATACAATGCGTATGTATGTATGTGTAGAATGAGCAAACAAAAAAAAAATATACAATACAAAGTGGAACTGCATAGGAGAGTACGAGTGTAAGCGATTGCTAAAATGTCTATTGCTCTAAAAGTTTGCCAATTTTTACACTTACTAAATTTAAATTGCCGAATCTTAAAAGTATACGCCTGTAAGTAGGCAATATGTGAAAATTGTCAATGTATTTAAACATATTTACTAGACTACAGCAACAATACAGTCAAAGCAACACGCGAGAGTATGTTTTGTGTTGTTTAGCGCCTAAAAGTGTGTTGAATTAAAAAAAAATACGCCTAAAAGTAGGCAATGTAAGCAATTTGCCAACGCATTAAACATATTTTCTAAACAACAACAACAACAGTAAAGCCAAAAGCGCGCACAAGTCTGCTCGTGCTATATAGCGCCTTAAAGTATGTTATATATAATTTTATTAAAAATTGTTAAGAGTACGCTGAATGTGTGCCAATAAACCCTAGCTATGTGTATGTAGCGTTGTTTGCGAAAATAATTACGCCTACATAAATGTTTGCGTGCTAATTACATTTTTAAAGCATACTCTAAGGCGTAAAAACATAAAACCACTAAGTGACCAATAAATAGCGCACTAATGTGCATGAGAGTATGCACGCATCCACATGCACACATACACATGACAAAACTCTACGTTTTGCACACACATACCTCAACATGATCTTAACCAGGTTTTCACAATAAAATTGAATTTAAAATTTTCCAATTATTGCTTGCTACTTCACTTATTTTACGTTTAATTTTACCGAAATATTGCTGTCTGCGTTGACGATTTTAGGCTGACGGCACAAATTGTCAATGTAAAATTTCGCAAGAAAGTCAGTTACTTTTAAATTATGCAGAAAGTTTGTATAAAAATTGTAAAACAACAATAAATTTTCTTGCTCACAACACACGTACGCCTTAAATACTGCAACACGCATACTAAACGCACGACACAGAAAAGTGCGTTTGAAAGCGTACTTGTTGTCTCAACAGGATATTGGTTAAAGCGTTGGCGAAATTTGTTTAGCTCCGGTTCACTGCACGAATTTTCGAAAGTAAATTTTGTTTTGTGTTTGATTTTTCAAAATGACGGAAACTAAGACGAAATGTGTGACGACGAAGGCGGAACGAGAAAACTAAGCTATTGCGAAATCCACAACATAATATTTAAAAAATATCTACAGGAAATTTTTGAAATTGTTGACTGGCTGAAAACTATAATAAATTTCTATTTTGAAAACAACGGAAAATTTTTGAAGTTTAATTTTTCATTTTTCTTAGAAATGTAAAATTTAACAGAAAATGCGGTTCAAAGCGTCGCATGATTTTTTTTATAAGAGTGGAGTGGAAAGTGCAACGCGCGATCATATGCATTTGTATGTGTATATGTATGTATGCGTGTACGTGTTAAAATACAAAATCAAATTATATTATAATAAAAAAATAGTACGAATTTAAAAATAATAAAAAAGTTTAGTAAGAATAATACAAAAAAAGGTTAAAAATATGAAAAAATTTAAGAAGTAATAAAAAAGATTTAAAACTAATAAAAAAAATTTAAGACAAATAAAAAAATTTGAGACATTATGGGTAATAGTACAAAAAAAAATTTAAAAATAATAAAAAAAATTTTAGCAAACAAAAATATTTTAAAAATAAAGAAAAATTAAGAAAAAAAAAACAATTAAGAAATAATAACAAAATAAAAATTATGAAAACGAAAAAAAATTTGTAACTAAATAAAACCATTTAAATTGAAATAGAAAAACAAATTATAATTCAAAGCTGAGAAAAATAACTTAAATATGGTAAGGCAAGTTAAGCTAAATAGAATAAGCGAAAATTATAAAACGAAATCAGGATTGCAAATAATGCATGAAACATACACTTTATTTCATATTTAAAATATTTTTTTTTTACTTTGTAACCCCAAAAAACTTTTCAAGTAATTTTCAAATTTTTAATCTCAAATAATGCATTGAAAAACTAAAAATTATTGTTAATCCCGAAAATCGGATTAAAACTTGAAAATGAAAATTTTAATGCTATGTAAATATCGTATTGAAAGAAAAAATGTTAATACCAATTTAATAATTAAAAATTAAAAAAAATTGTTTAACAAAATTTTAAAAATTATTTTTGAATTTTAAATTATTTCGCGCTGACGTACTTCCTTCGTGTGCCACCATATTGGTTATTATTGAAAAACAGTAAAAAAAAAAATTTTAATAAAACTGAAACGAAGTTTAACTCCTTTTTCCCTTCTCAATACAGCTTTAGATTTGAAAAATATACTTTTTTAATTTTTTACTTTAATTTTTGATTAAAAAATATTTTATCAATTTTTTTTACGATTTTGAATTTAAATAAAATTTTAAATTTTTAATTCCGCTTTGACAATAAAAATCAATTTTAATTGAAAATTAGTTTTTCAAATTAAATTTTAAATATAAAATTTTAAGTATTAATTTTAAATTTTTTTTTAAATTAAATTTGTAAATTTTAATTTTAAATTTTTAACTAAAATTTTCAATTTTTAACCCCAAATTTTGAAAATTTAATTATTAATCGAACTTTTTTTTTCAATTAGAAAACTCACAACTCTGAACGAAGTAAACTAAAATATTACCAATAACGAAAGTTAAATAAAATAAAAATACAAAAATATAATTATTTAAAAATCTTAACTATAGCAATAAAAAAATAACGCAGTAGCACGTAAGCAACACTAGCGAATATCGCGGTCCTTTAAAACTCAAAATATTTCAAGCAAATAAATAACTCAGTTGCGCACCTTGGCAACACCATGCGGTATCACGACTTCAAACAGCAATAGCGGCTAATTCCAAACGTTTGAGAAACAAAATTTCAATCTTGCTTGGAAAAAAAAAATTGTATTTCAAAAATATGTTTGTAGTATTTTGATAATATTTTTTAAAAATAGTACTTAAATATTTTTAAAAATATTATCAAAATACTTAAAATAATAGTACTTAAATATTTAAAAAAAATATTATCAAAATACTACAAACATATTTTTGAAGGAATTCTTTTTTTTTAAATATTACTTAAATATTTTTTAAAAATATTACTAAAATATTTAAATAAATGTTAGCAAAATATTACTAAATATTTTTGACAGAAAACATATTTTTTTTAAATATTACTAAAATATTTTCTACAGAAGAAATTATGAAAATTATTTTTAAAAACTTTACAAAGAAAAAAAAAAAAAAAAACTTGGAAAATTCGAAATGTAAAAAGAACTCATTGCCCTCAACATTCTTAAAAAATATGCAGACGTGGGAAAAGCTCCGTTAAACACGACTTGATTGCTACAACAATAACCGACAAGCTTTAAGCATCAATTCGATTAACCAAAAATCAAAATGGTGGATCAAAGCAAGCGCGCACTGCAAAAATGCAGCTAAAACATAAATTAGCTGCAACGCTAAAGCGTCTTAAAAAATCACCGCAAATTTCTTGGAAGTCATTTATTTCATTATTATTATTTTCGTTGGTATTTGTTGTTGTTGCTTTCGTTACTGCTACTAGCTTTTAACTGCTGCTGCTTTTATTTGGCGCTTTTTTCATTAAGCATGTTGCAAAAGGCAGGCAGGCAGTCATTGCTTAGCGCATACATATATATATGTATATACATAGGCTTGTGTGTGTGTGTGTGTGCCACTTTCTGTCAGCAACGCAGCATTAATTGCCGCTACGCTGTTAATGCCGCTGCTGTGTCCGTTGTCAAATTGGTGCAATACATTATTAGTTGCAGTTGTTGCTTTTCTTTCTTGTTATTGTTGTTTTTTGTATGCCACAACATTTATTATTTTTGCTTCCTGTGCGTCTGCGCAAAATTCCATGGAAAAGCTTTAAAGTTCAATTTGGTATTTAATAGTTTTTCTTTTTGTTTTGTCTTCTCTTTTTCGCTGCTTCTTTTTTGTTTTTGTTTTTTTGCTTACTTTTGCAGTATTTTGTTGTTATAGCGCATACCACTGTCGGCGTCGCAACGCGGGTCGTCAGCCGAGTCCATTCACATTGTCGCTGCAACTAGTTGTTGCGGTTGTTGTTGGTCTAAATGTTGTTGGTTGCTGGCTATTTTAGCTGCTGCTTCTATGCTTGCTAACTGCTTGTTGCTGCTGTTTTGTTTTCAACTTGATTTTCTTGTTGTTGTTGTCTAGTCTGGGAATGCTGTCGCTGTATCAATACGATCATATTCGCTGTGTTGTTGTTTTGGTTTTGGCATTGGCATGCGGCCAGTACCAGTCAGTGCGCCTGCTGACCGCGCTTCTACCTCGTCTCGCGTTTTGCCTCTTCGTTTTCTTTTTCTTTTTCTCGTTCTTGTTTTTGTTCTTCTTCTTGGCCAACTATGCAGCGTCCGGTTAGTCAGTTAGCCAAGCAACCGGTTGGCATTCCTGAGTGACTGTGTCTTTTCGAGCAGCCAAGTTGCTGGCATTTGGTGTGCGTGTGCGTATGTGTGCGCGCACACGCCGCGCATCCAGTTACATTTTGCCATAACGTCATCATCGCAGTGGCGGTGGCATGAAAAAACAACTGCAAAAATAAAACTGAAATGCCACAGGAATGCGCCACAGCCTGACACGGTGCATGCAACAGCATGCGGTGCGCGTTCGTCCCGCCGCTTTGCCGCAGCAATCAGCAAGCGGGCGTCCAAGTCATGGGAAGCAATCAACATTTTTCAAGTTGTTATTGTGTTTTTTGACTGATCGCATGCCATTACACGCACACCTTTACATACATAATATACATATATGTTGTTGTTGTTATTATTATTTTTGTTTGGGTTTCCATTGGAACGCAAC